CCAATCATTCCAGGAGAATTTTTGAGGCACCCGAGACCTCGCAAGACCACCCCATGAGTCCCCAGCGTGCACCGACACTCTCGCCTGAAGGTCACTGTGGCCGGACACGATTCCTCACCGTAAACGTGCGCATGACGGCGTTCGAGAACTGCTTCCTGAATGCCCTGGACACTATACCCCCGGAGCCGAAATCCAAGCACCCAGCAGAACCCACAAGCTGTGATACCCCCGCAGAGCCCAGCCACTTCGAATCTCACAATCGCAAGGGAAGAGATGAACAAAAACAACAACTGAAACATAAAAGAACAACTTACTGTAAACCGGGAGCCCTAAACCGAAACCGCAATCCCACACAACAAGAGCCTTGCAGCGAAAGTCTCCAAATCATAATCACACTTATGACGTAGGCAGAACCTATAAACCACCCTATACTCTTAACCGAATGAGCTCCTTACTCTCAACTATATACCGTATAGCTAAGGTCCCAGGAAGCCCCCGGGAGGGGCGAGGCGTGTCCATCTCAGAGACAAGTCCGATGAGGGTTTGGTGGGTTTATGGGCGTATAACTTGGGGCTCAAAGGTTTAGGGTCTTGTGTTTATGGGCTTATGGCGCTGCCCGAGTCTCAGAGTCTGGGTTGCGGGTCTTGGGGCTCAAGTGGGTGGCACGGCTATGGGGAGGGTAACTGTTGCGTGTGACGCCGACCAAGGTAACACGTCGCTTCGGTTTTTGCCAGGAGCTACGCACGTTTGAGGATTTTGAGTTTCTGTGTGTTTTCTTTGTTGGTTTCAGGGTTCAGGTTGCCTTTTGGAAGCCTTGTTCCCCGGGGTCTGTGGATTCTGTGGGCTTTGCGTTTGAGAGGTGGAGAAGTCACTGGGCTCTTTCGCTCGGGTCGCCCAAAAGGCCAGGACGTGCCAATGGGTCACACATTTAGGTTACAGGGTTTTGTGTCTATGGCTGTTTTAAGATGTATAATAGAAGGTGTAGGTTTCACATAGTATCGTTCATGGCCCCTGCTGCTGCTGCTGCTGCGGTTAAACCCCTAACTAAACCCCAAACATCGAAACGGTTTGCCGGAACCTACATGCCCTCAACCGGCCCTGGACCATAACCCCAAATAGTCTCATAAAACGCCGAAGCCCGTGAACCGAGGTGGCTGGGCCTGTCTTTCAGCACGCCTCTGATCATCAGGCTGGGGGCGTGACTTTTGCCGTTGGGAAACTTCTCTCCATTAGGGTCCATATTGGCGAGTTTCGGATTTCGGGCAGAACTATCAGCTGCCTGCATGAAGTCACGATAGACTGCTGGCCAACAAGGAAAGCCAAGACACTAATGCCAGTGCACCGTATCACTAATACTTCCACTAGGGAACAGGCACTGTTCAAAGCCGCCCAAGCACTGAACAATGCCTCATCAATGCAAGCCATAAATCGCCTGTGCCCTCATCGCAAAAGCAATTCAACCCGAACCACCCCAGCCCTCCAAGCCTTCAAAGGAACTCTTAAAGCAACCCCTTAACGGAACACTTACTGCAGCCCTAAAGAGAAGGTGTGTGCAGGCGGTTCTGGACAGCAGCGAGGGGTTTCGCAGTGGCCTGAGGATGTGGGGCCGAGTCTAGGTCCGATATGGGTTTAGGGGTTTAGGTTTTGCTGTAACCGGGCTGCTGGACAACGAGGCCTGCTGCAAAAAGGGTTTAGGTTTATAGGGTTTAGGGTCTAGGTCCGAGATGGGTAAGGTTTCCCTGCACATAAGGGCCCATGTACCCAAATAGCACATACATTGGCCCCAAAGTGCCTGTAAAGGGACTGCTTGCAGGTCAAGGTATATACGATTTGGGCACATGACCTTGAGGGTTCAGAATGTACTTTACCCCTCCCCAAAATTCAAAAAACATAAAGCCCACTGCCCTGAGAAGGCATAGAAGCAAATCGTGGGTACCCGGCATGGACTGAGGGATAGTAGTAGTAACCCTTAGGTAGTATCGCTAAAGTCCAGGAAGGATCTGTATGTGGAGAGTTTGCGATTTCGCACTTAGGTGTCAGGCATGTCTTGAGGGACCAATAGATTGGCAAGAAGTTGAAGCAAGCTTGGAATGGGTTGGCCAGTTGCGAGCAGAAATAGGACCTACTTTGCTGATGCTGAGGAGTCCTCTGATCAAGTACGTAGGACGGATCGCGCAGTTTTCATGACGAACTGGGTTTTCGCACAAGAATATAGTATGGGGTCGGAATAACTAGTATCAACAGATGCCCTTAAAGTATCCTTAAAGTCCCCTGTAACTTAGTAGTCTACAGTAGCATGAAGCCTAGTCTCCTTATCGCGATCCGCCGATATTTAATCCCGCAAGCCACAAATATGCTGGAAGACTGCCTTTCATACTACCCGTGGCCGCAAAAAAAAACCCTACCTTTTTGAGGAGTGAAATATGGAAGCCACAATAAGGAACCCTGAAAAGCTCGTTTTTTTTAACATTGCTTTTTTCGGCTACAGGTAGGGATTCCAGAATTCGGGCTTGTGGCCCTATATGGAATCATCCGCAAGGAAAAGCGGGCCATTTACAAGGAGGAGGCGGATTCCCTACAGGACTGTGTACGTCTGGATGGTCAGTATCCACCAACCTTGAAGGGGAACCAGTTTTAAACCCGCAACCCTGGATCCCCTGACAATTATATATTCTTCCTTAAGCCGGAATAACCTACCTTTTTAGGGTTCCTTATTATGATTTCCTTATATAAGTCCTTAAAAAAGTAGGTTATTCCGGCTTAAGGTTTTCGATAAGAAAGCCTACCCCAACCCGGTTTCGACGCTAAACCCCAAAAGGAGTCCCTAAACCCTGCCCTGCACCCTGAACCCTAAGCCTTAAACACGAGTCACCACCGCGCACGCTCCTCCAAGGACCGGAGTCATTGCAGTTGCAATCCAGGCCCGAGGTGGACCCGCGCTCAGATGCCGAAGGGCTTAGGGTGTAAGTTGGCTTTAGGGTGTAGGGCTGACAAGCTACAGGCAGGTCTTCTCTATCCCGGAAGTTTGATAGATGATTTTTTGAATCCGGATTTCAATATCTAGCCTTTTCCTGGTCAACTTAGGCGGGTTGCATGAGTTGAGTTACGAGCCTCGGGGCTGTGGTTGAAGAATCCCTTTCTTCTGTGAGCCGCCGCAGTTTACTAATCACCAACACCGCGGGACTTGTAGGGCTTTGATGTTGTTCATCGCAGCCTGGTTTGGGTTCATTAACTTACTGTAATCTCTGTAGACACTTACCCTTCACGTGCAAGTGTTTGTTGTTGATGAGAGTTGAAAGGTTTTGCGCAGCTTGGTACCATTATGTTGCATGCCAGCATTCCAATTCTACCATGGTCATCTGTTTGTGCAGGCATTCGATGTTCAGATGTCTTGCGCATGTCGCCATGTCCTTGCAGATCCAGACTCGCCAGCTGGCTCAAGCCCCGAACGACGATCGCATCCTTGAGCCGCCAGGTCCTCCAATACTCTGAGACCTAACTCAATATGCCATCATATATGCTAAGCGAACATAAATCAACCCCAATTGTGAGACCCGGTCAGGACCTTATACCCTAAAGCCTAAACCCTAAACCTAGTTGTGCCAGAGAATCGAGCCGGATGTCGAGGCACTCGTCTCTTATGCCCATTATGCCCACGACCCTGTGAGTAGCAGGTGTAAGGGTTGCTCGATCTCAGGTTGCTTATGTGGGGTGTCTGGGACACCTCAGTGGAATTATTCAAGAACCCTGAACCCCTAAACCATGAAAGCCCTAAACCCCTACTCCCAGCGGTTCCTATCATAGAAATCTTGTTTCTTCACAGGGGTACTAGAATCAAGATACTGTTGGCCAACCGACGTCGGGACATGCGAGGGTGGATCTTAATCGAGGGTTTCCTTCCAGGTAGACATTTTGGCAGGTTATTCACACCTGCACAACTCTTCAGAGGCTCGGATTTCACGGAAGACCTAATACATGAGAAGTCGTTTCTTCAGCTGCCTCTCCGGCTTACCAGGAGCCGGGCTTCATATCTAGATAGCATTTAACCCTAACCCCTCCATGCCTACGTGACAACCCCTCCTCAAACCCCTACTTAAAGGATCATGGGACTTAGTAACTAGGGTTACAATTAGGGTAACTATACTTATAACCCCAATTAGGGTACTTATAACCTTACTTACTAAGTCCCATGATCCCCATTATAGAACCCCTATAGATCCCCTCAAGGAACCCTATTATAGAACCATAAGGAACCCTACTACTAAGTCCCATGATCCTCCAAGTAGGAATCTTGTTCAAAGGAGCTAGGGCCGGCAGCGGCCTTAAGCTCGCTGGAGGACGGTTCAGGTTTAGCAAATGATCGATACCCAGAGGCCCCAAAGTAGTTCCTTTTTGGGATTACCTTATAGGGTTCTATATATGAACCCCAAAAGAGGAACTACTTTGGGGCCTTTGGGTAACTCTAGCTCTCTGCAGTAGGTGCAGAGCTTTTCCGGTTATTTTTATGCTGGCGACTGCGGTGTTGTCTGCCGTGCCGTTCGTGGCTCGAAACAGATGACCAGCCCAATATGAGACCACGCGCCTAAGGCGGGTTGGTCATGACAAGAGGCCGGACGTTCGTGGCTTCCCAGGTTCAGGGATTTTCGAGCTCAAGCTTGACGGGGGCTGAGCGGTTTAGTTTGGCGCGTGTCTGGTTCAGATCATGATTCCGACGGAAGGACCCGAAAATTGCGAATGCGCGAAAGAATAGGACGTCGGGTTTCTGACGCTAATGGAAGGTTCGATGCACATTTCAATGCCTGCAGACTCTACATTTCCCTGCATCTGCATGGCTGTTTCCAGTTCAGATCCAGCTTGACGCTTATGAGGTTTAGGTGTCTGGTCTTTTCGCTGTTCAAGGTTGTGGGTTCGAGGTTCAGTGGTTCAAGTTTCACCCGAGGAGCTTGATGCTGGTGTGTGGTTGATGCGAGCAGGTGTTTTCCATCAAAACGGTCGCAACCATGCCGAGCCGAGCGACGCACAAGAACTCGAAAATGCGTCTTGGCCATGCAAGGGGGCACGAACATTGATGACTGCAGAGGCTCAGGTTGATTTCGGATCCCTTTGTGTATGCCCCCTGAAGCCCCAAGCCCAGCCCATCTTTGGCTAGGATCCAAACCTGTGGCTCACCACCGTGCGGAGATGGCTCTCGTTTACAAATTCCCCAGAGTAGGCGCTCCCGAAAGGTACTATAGGGGCCTAAATAATATTCTAATTCTTAACGCCCCTATACTAAGCAACCGAAACCGTCAATCCTAAACCCTAAACAGAATATTGGTAAAGTGTGCGAGTCGAAACAGAATATTGGAGTTAAGCACAACTCGGAAATAGCCGCCGGAGATTACAGAGAGATAGCAAATAAAACTGATTCACTGAATAGCTAAACACTTAACACTACATGGGGCCAGCCAAGGATTGGCGCCGATGGCGGTGACCTTGTGCGGCGTCCCAGGGGTAAAACTTTAGGGGCTAGATCTTCGGATCGTGTACTTCTGAGTGCGGCGTCAGTCTACTTGATGCGGTCGTAGTGTGTTCACGCACCCCAAACCTACATGCCATTCCTTTCCTCGCCCCGAACCTGAGATTTCAAACCCTGAAACCCAAAAGGTCTGAACTTTAAGCCCCTGCGGCCCTTTCGAGTCGAAATGCTCGAACCCTTAAACCCTCAGCCACGCAGCTTTTCAAATCTCCAAGGGTACTTCGGGTTAGTGTATATACCTTAGACAAAGCCCCCAAAACCCCGTGTCTTCCAACCCACTTCCAACCCTCGAAACCCCTCTGTATACACACCCTAAACCCAAAACCCTAAACCATAAACAACGCCTAAACACACAAAGAAAGCCACGGCGAACTGATGACGTGCAGCATCTGGTTCGCTTATGCCGAGGCAGAGGAGTCGGAGGCCAAGAAGAAAAAGAAGAAGGACTACCTAGGGTTCCTTAAACCTCTATGGCCCACCTGGACCTTAAATAACATCCTTCTTGTGCTCTTTATCATGACTTCCGCGCATATGTACCGACACATAAACTTATATATAGATCTATATGTATGTGTGTGTGTGTGTGTAGAATGTGTATATATATATATATATATATATATATATATACACTGCTCCGAAACTCCCGAACCTCCCGAGTCTGCACTTTGTCTTCTACACTGCAGACTTCAGGCACCTCAAAACATAGCCGTAACTCCCCAAACCCCCAGATCCTAAATCTTCAAACCTTAAATTCCGAAACGCCCAAACAGGAGAGGGATCCCCTGGATTGGGAAGATGACAAGTTTCCGAAGATGGCAGACCGGCCAGCCTGCGGCCCAGAGTCTAGGATGCCCAGTGCTACCCTTATTCCCTTTTTGTAGTCCTAGGTTCCTTAAAAAAGTTACCCAGTCCCAAAAAAGGGATCCCTTTTTATTTCTACGTTACTGGGCAGCCTGGGAGTTGACCCCCAAGCTCGAACCTGTTTGCTGGCAGCCCCGTGGGATGAACAGATGGGCTTAAATAATTACCAAGACTATTTTGGCGGGTTCATTACTACAACGATAGTATAATGGGGCCCAAAACCCTATCCTAATTACTATAAGGCCCGTATATTATCGAAATAATCACCCAAAGCTTGAATCCTGGACCCTACCTTTTGAAGGTTCCTCATGACGACTTCCTTATATAAGTCTTTCAAAAGAGGCCTTTATGGGTATAGGCGAACGCCAAACCCTACTTCCAACCACTGATGTGGCAGGTCGAGCAGGCACAGGTCGATCCGAGCTACCTTGCGAAGATGCGTCAGGAGGCCTCGAATTCTCGGGTTTAGGGGTTTGGGGTTTAGAGGTAGGGGTTAGGGGTTTAGGGTTTAAGGTGGGTGAACGGGCCGTATTGATTCGAAAAGGGCTCCGGTGAGGGTTTCTTTTCAGTGGTTGTATACAAGTCACTACATACATATACATATATATATATATATGTATATGCAGGCTTCTATGAAATGGACGTTATTGCAGTCGGGTATTGGGGGTTGATCTACCCGAGTTGTAAAATCTGGGACTTACAAGAGAATACCGTATTTGGGGTATTCCGACCAATACCTTATGGTGTTTCTCCTCTTCATAATACCTCCATAGTCATGTTTGATTTGTACCGGCCTTTACATTAGTAAGTAAACCTCCAAGAACCACTTACAGAATCCATTAGATGAAGCCCCTTCCAGTCATCAAAGCAGCATGCTGCGGTTCTCGAGAAGTGCGACTCCAGCAGGTTTGGGAGTTTCCAGAAGCGACACACCCCCTTTCGCGACTGTAGCTCTGGCACCGCGAGAGCTCATTGCATTTCGGTGCAGAAACCCTCCGGCTCAAGAAATCCGAACCTCGTGCGAATTTATATATCTCAGAAATCGCAGAGTTTTGTACTTTTCCGAACCATTTTTTTTTGCCCCCAACCCTCACCTCTTAAGGCCCAAGCCCTTCTTTCATGGACGCCCTTGAGGCCAAGAAGCAATACATTGAAGCACTGGGCCCCGACCCGGCGAAGGTGCAGCGAACGTGGAAGTGACTTTGATGGACTTATAAGGCTGTAGAAAGAGTAACCAAGATACCTGACAAAAAGGGTGTACTTGTAAATTTGTTTAAGGAAATTTTGTCCATCTCTGAAACGTACGTATGGATAAGCTAGGCAGAAAGAAGGGTTGAGGATGATTGAGGCTTTAGGATTCAGAAAGAAATGAGGCTTGAAACCCTACCCTCAGGCTCCAAGTCGCCCTTATTTTATGGTTTTGAAACTTATTTTATGGTTTTTAAACCTAAAAGGCCCTAAAGTCCGATAGTAGGGAGTACTTGGACCGGATGGTAAACCCCTTCCTAAACCCGATCGGACAGCTTCGGGGCTCCTTAATGTAGGCAATGTAGGGGCCTTCATCATCAGGGTAGGGTTTGTGGGGGGGGCTCCTTATTAGAATAGGGTTCAGAGTGTTCTTAAAAGGGGCCCTAAACGGGTTACTATCAGGGATATTATGGGGTTGAATGTAGGGGCCTTAGTAGTTAGAAGAGGGTTTGTGGGTACATTATACTCGAATTATCATAAGGAAACCCCAAAATAGTATTGGTAATGATTTAGGCCCCTATAGTAGTTTGCTATCTTCCTGAATTCCAGGATCCGTGTGGTTCTGTTTCGTGTGGCAGCCTGCCGTATGAAGGCTTACTATAGGGGCCGTTCAACAATTACCTATATATACTATTTTGGGGGTTCTTTATAGTACAGTTATGGTATAGTGGGCACCAGAACCCTAGTCTAATTATTAAGGCCCCTATAGATTATACTAGTTGATAGGCTGTACTGTACCGGCCACTCTATTTCTAGGCTCCTTGGAATGGCTTCTAGGTCGGTGGTGTCCGATTCATGGGCCTCTTGGCAAACTGAGGGCTCGGGATACTACCAGGATAATTAAAGGCCTAAGGGGAGGCTCCGGTCATGCGCCGTTGTAGAGCTCGGCTTAAAACACTGCGGTAGCTAGCCACTGCCGTGTTGTGGGGCTGCTCCTGGTACTGTCACACGTACTGTAGGTTTGACATTCTAGGTTGTCGGAAGGTGACCACTGATGTCTCAACTTTCCAAAGGCTCACTGTGGTCATGCTGAGTTTCAACAGACGGGGGTGCGTAGGACTGTCAGTATACTGGCAGCCTTGCTCTCAAAGATTGTATTGCCTGTCTTTTCGCACGCCCTCAAGAACGAGATACTTTAGACCGTTAGAACTTCAGAACTGTCCGGCACCGGGCGATGGGTTTTTAAGTTTACACCCAACGACCTGAGCTGAGGTTCCACTTTGGCATCTGTGCGCTGGAGAATGTCACGCAGAATGAGTGGGAGGTCTTCGTGGCCGTGCCGCGCTCCCCAGATACCCAGAATCAGGGGGCCTATGCCTGGTACAGAGTTTCCGGTATGCATTGTCGATCGTTTGGGTTGTAGCAAAAAAGAGGGGTCGGGTTTGACATGCGTATTGGATTGTCACTAATCAAAAAACCCTGTCGCTTCTATTTGCCTAGCCACTCGATTTGGATCGGAGGTCAGTGGTTGGGGGCTGGAGCGGCCCAGAAGTGGCCAAGTTTGAAGGTTCACCTTCGAGCTTTCCGATTTTCCGAAATTCCTCAGGCGTTGGCAAGGCTTCAAAAGCAAACGAGGCCTTGTCTATGTTGCTGCATCACATCAAGCGCGCAATGTTAATGAGCACAGACCAGAGCACGATGCAGGGCGGCCAGGTGCGCGATGCTTATTGCCATAAGAACATCGTGTCCGATGTTAAGTACTTCCTGAACCCACTCAAAAATCTGCATGCTTAGGCTTAGGTTTCCTCAATTACCTCAATTGCTTCCGTACTACCTATAGTCTCCATTGTAGTTCCTTTTTCTGGTTTACCCAATTTTATATTAAGGACCTTATAAGGTATGGAGACTATAGGTAGTATGTAATTTCTTGAGGAAGGCAGGTCTTTTGGGTAAGTTTTAGACTTTGATCTTCCACTGGCCGAGGTCAGAGACCGGAAACAAGTGCCTTGGCAGCACTATTGGGCGTTTCCGAAAACTAGCAAACATAGACACTGATCCTTTTTGGGGACCTCAAAAAGGGTCCCCCCCAATATATATATATATATATATATATATATATATATATATATATATAAGACACTCCCAAACCCATCTGATTTTGTTCAGCCGGGTCTTTCACCGGAATGACATTTGTTTCATGCCGTGCTACACCATGAATGAAGATGATTGGACCTCCTGGGAGCACTCGTTTACAGTTTGTCTATCTACCTCGAATGCTGATGCAAACTATCGTGCCAGAGTCTGCGAAGGGGTTTGACTCTAGATGCACCTGGCCCGAGTCCCTAAGCCCACTCGCCACGTATGAGTTAATAGGGTCTTCGTTTGTATTGCCTGCTATGTTTCACCGAAGGTTCACAGGAGGGTACTAGCGGGTTCGAAGATTCGAGCCGTGTTCTTTTGTTTTAACGTCCATGTTTGAGGCTTTACCACTTTGGGTTCCTAGAGTTTCAGGCTTGGTATGGCCTCTGCATTCCATTGGCCCCTCCTGGCCGTTGAAACCAAATGGCGCTTGCTATATGCCAGCTTTCTTTTGGGCCTCCTGCCTCTATGTGCCCCTTGCCTCTGGAAAGATAAGGCATACAGATGTTTCGGAAGTGCTCTGAGCATGTGGTTTGGGCTTTTCCTCGGACTCGTACATGTCCCTGGCACCTCAGCGGGCAGGAAGGGCTCCGACACATGCACGGTCGTGCTTTGCGCTTTGATCGCGTTTCTCTCTACCTGTCTCGCCGGCTATCGATGTGTTATCTGGGCATTTCCGGCTTTGCGCCTGTTCAGACACCTGCATGAAGATCTAGAGGTATTCCGTCCTGGCCAGGAGACACTTACTTTCGTCCTGCTATCGCTGATATGGATAGGCTGCATGCTGAGAGAGCACCCGCTTTCTACTTGCACACACGATGCAAAATGGTGCATGTTTGCATTCTGGCTGGCTGGGGCAGCGTGGCAGGCAAGGTTGATATGTCTGGACAAGAAATGGTATCTCGCCGTGGAATATGTGCAGCAGTTTGGCTGTGGACTTCAAGGTGTTGCACTCGGCTGGAGTTTATATCTCCTGCAGATGCGAATTCTTGGAATCCGGTCTACCTCGCAGCAGACATGTGGTTCAACCTTCGGTTCTCGAATATTGATACTCGTCATGTGTGGCAGCTGGCTCATTCGTTACTTGCCTTTCCTCGTAGCAATACCAAGGTCAGACGAACAGTCTTGGAAAGTTTGGCCCTTAGTCGTCAGCCTTTCGGTGCTGTGTACCGCTTGGCTTGTATACGCGGCACTGATATGCAGGATCTTGTCCCTCAAATTGGCTCTTCTGCTGCAGGAGACAAGGCGAGTTCGAGGGCCTCCAAAAAAACAGGCGATTTGGGCCGCGAAAGTTGTTGGCGTGGAGATGCTGATATGTGCAATTCTGGGACTAGCCATGTTTCTCCACGGCGTCTTCTCCGGCGCTGGTGTGTATTCGTGTTTTTTTCTGCTTTGGCGTGACCGGTCAGACGCAAACCGCCGGCTTTGTATCACATGGACGGCCCTTGTGCAAGGTTTCACCAACACGATGTGGGTTGTGAACTCACTCGGACTGGGTCTTCTGTCTGGCATTCTCTGGCAAGTGCACCCTCCCAAAGATGACCCCAACTCTGCAGCCGAACTCACGCGAGGCCTGGTCTCCAAGTCAAGCTTGCTGAGCCCCCGTGGAAAGGAAGCCTACGACCAGGTGGTGGAGCAGCTCGCAAAACGGTGTGTTAGCCTAGAGGCGCTTTTAAGTTTCTGGGAACGTCTTCGCGATGGTCAGACGATGCCAGGCTTTCATCCCCGACGCTCCTTGACGAACGATGTGGTTCGACGGGCAATCATCCCCGAATCGCGAGTCGGACATGGTGGCTGTGCCCTGGCAACGATGTGGTCCAGTGCCGAAACGAAGCCGCAAGTCATGGTTACGCACAACTGGACCAACGGCTTTGGAAGCCTTGTTGCGGCAATCCTGGCGGATGCTTTGGGGCGGGCTTCCTATCAGGAGGTTGCGGCCCAGATTACCACGCCGTCAGGGATTGAACAGGTCCGGGCGAAATTGGCCGGCAAGCTGGAGACGACCTATTGGGTGTGCGCATTTTGCATCAACCAGCATGCTAGTATTTGTGGTGGCTTCGGGCCCGAGCCGCCGCAGGGGACGCCCGAATGGGCCGCTTGGAACAGGAGGCGGTATGATTCGGTCACCGGTGAAGCCTTCGCGCCTTGCAACTGTCAGGTAGAGAAAGTGTTCAGCCACACTGATGCAAGATGTGAACTCAACAAGTTCGATGACATGATGACGCACCTAGCTCGACAGGTGGTCCATTTCGCTCAACTTGTCGTCGTCGATGACGCCTTCGACGTGCTTTACCGGGCATGGTGTGTTGCAGAAATATTCGAGGCCAACATGCTGGGCATGGAATCTCGAATACAGGTTTCGTCGCAAGATGTTGTGGACCAGAACTACGACAGGCTCTCACTGTTAGATGTCAGACAATGCACAGCCTCGTCTCAAGCTGACAAGGAGATGATCATGGCGAAGATCTCAGATGTGGAAGTCTTCAACTGGAAACTCCAGCAGCTCATCTTCAGTGAAGAGATGGGTTTGTTTGTGCAGTGGGTGGAGGGGAACGAGCGTTCCCGGCAAGTCGGGAGAATTGTAAAGCGCTGCGAGGCGCGCGCACAGGGAACCAAAGACGAACCTGCCCGCAGATCTCGCAGATTCTTCGCATCGCTTCGCTTGCTCACGTCTCCTGGCAGCGACTCTGACGAATCGTCGGAAGAAGCACTGACAGCGGAGGCTTCGGATTCGTCTTCAAGCAGCAGCTGACAGAACAGGATCCGCGCCGTTTCGAGCAACCAGCTATCACCAAGACACCCCAATCTAGCGGCCTAGAGAATTACCAATACAAGTATAAAAGTAGCTGTACTGAGCCCCAAAACCCTATTCCAACTTTTTAAGGCTCCTATATTGAATGCCTCCATCCCAAACCCTGACGTCCAAAACTCCCTGCAACAACAGCTTCGAGCCCGATCGGAGTCCTACACACCAAAGAGTTTAGAGGTTTAGAAGTTGATGTAGGGGCCACAACCACAACAGGGTTGGGGGCCCATTGTACTCTAAGCACAATAAGGAACCTCCAAGATAGTATTGGTAATTCCTTTGGCACCTATTTTGAAAAAATAGGACCAAGATTTCTGGCCCCCCAAGGTTTGATCAATTCAAAAATCGGCTCCACGGCAACTTCCAGTACACCAAGGGCTACAAAGTAAGGCGCCTCCGGGTGGTTTTGGCGGTTTCGGTGCTGGGAGCTCTTGCCTTTTGGCTATGTGTGAATATCTGTCTCTGTCTCCCTCTCTCTCTCTGTATATATATATATATATATATATGTGTGTGTTCATATGCGTATGTATATTTTATATATACATATGTTTATATATAGGTGTACATATATATATATATATACATAGATATGTGTATGTATATATGTAACATGTAAACGGGCCCTTGCTTTCTTTACTGTTTGTCTCTATTTATCCCTCTCGCTCTCTCGCAGTATTTCTGTCCCGTTTCTATTGATGTTAGCTGTCTGTCTCTGTTTAGTTCTTTCTCTCTCTCTCTCTCTCTCTCTCTCTCCCTCGCACTATTTCTGTCTCGTTTCTATTGATGTTAGTTGTGTGTTTGTCTTTGTCTCTCGCTCTCTCTCTTTCTCTCTCTCTCTCTCTCTCTCTCTCTCTCTCTCTCTCTCTCTGTCTCACTCTCACGCTTTGCCTGCATGTGCGCTCACTGGTTCAGGGGCCATACCCGGAAGAAGTTCAAAAGCGTGCTCCTCAGAAGGCGTACTCTTCCTCGGTTGGCTTGAGGTTTCCGGAACGACATGGAATGAACGAATTGAGGGCTTTTCGGCTTCTGATACTGGGTTTTCTTCTTACTAGTCACTAGAGCCGACTCAACCCTTCGCCCCAAAATGCGATTGCAACATGAGAGAGTTTTCGAAAATGGGGGACCCTAAGTACCCTAAATAGTGGAATCCTTACTATAAGGACCCCAAAATAAGGTACCCCTGTTTTCGGAAACTCCCACATCGATGCATCAGGGACCTCGTCTCCAGCTCCTCGAGCGCACGCCTTGAGCCGAGGAATGGAGCAGGTCTACAGCAAAGAGCACAACCTGAGCTGCACGGCTTTACTTCGTGTAGCTCGCCATCATGCATGTACATGCAGTGTCTTATCTGTCTGTCTATCTTTCCATCTGTCTAACTATACATCTGTCTATCTGTCCATGTATCTGCTAGCTATAGGCAGCTATGATGTATGTAGATAGTTCGGTAGATAGGCAGCTGTAAAGAAATGGATGCATGGATGGACAGACAGGTAGGTTGATAGCAAGATATGTCAATTCATCGACGAACCCTTGCTTGTTTCTGGGAGGGAGAGATGCTATGTTGCATATACCGTGTACCGATACAGACAGAAGCAAGTGTGCATAGTTATGCTAGCGCACGGATTACTGTCGTGCGTTTTTGCTGTTTTCGGGGGCTTGGTGTTTTTGCTGTTGTTGTGGTCTTGGGGGGGGGGCTGATAATGTCCACTTTGCCGCCATCATCATGATCATCGTCATCATTGTCATCATCATCTTCATCCTCGTCATCATCACGGCATGGTCATCGTTTACGTTCCGGTACTCACATCATCCCCACGTGAGGTTAGAGCCTGAGGGTCTCTTTTGAATCTATAATTCATGTGTGGCAGCAGCCAGGCTCGGCTTTCGGGGTTGAGACAGCTCTCGCAGAAGCATCACGAGACCTGACACATGTTCGGAGGCATGCTAGAAGCTAGCAGCTTTGGCATCCAGACCTCCAGTGCAGCTATGCCTTTCGGTCTTGGGGTATGCACTCCCAGATTTTTTTGGAAGCGTTGAGCTCCTGAACAGCGCGTTCGCGAAGAAATCTGCAGACTCTTTCAAGCATTTTCCGAATAAGACCGTATTTATACATACATACATGCATACATACATACCTCCGCTTTGGTGGGGGGGGGGCACGATTGGGCACCTCAAAACATGACGCTTTCACATACACTTCTTTGTCAGTCGACTCGGTTCACGCATTCCAACTTCGCATGCAACGACAGTCAAAACCTTGACTTGGAAGCTCTAAAACAATTCAGCACCACAATATCTCTAAACCGTTAGAGGAGTTCATGTAGGCACCTGCGTAGGCTTCTTTGCAAACATGCTTGGGCCGAGGTTACAAGCAAATGCAGAACCACGTGGGCGCCTCAGAGCTTTTGTGAAAAATGCAGGTCGTGTTGGCTTTGGATCCGTTCCCAGCCTTACCTGTAGTCTCCATTGTAGTTCCTTTTTGGGGTTGCCTTATGGGATCCTTAATATATATATATATATATATATATATATATATATATATGGTTAAACAGGGTTAAACCAAAAAAAGGAACTACAATGGAGACTACAGGTAGCATTGTAAAACGCGGCTCCGCCAGCCGTTTTGAAAATTGAAGGGTCTTCGGGGGTGCAGAGTTTCAGGTTCAATTGTTTACCTTCGTAGCGTTGCCAGTTCCAACTCACCGGGTAGGGTTCAGGGTTTATAGTGTTCGCAAAATCCTGTCGTTTGAGGAAGCAGCTGGCATCCCTTGAACCATTGCAGATCCCAAAGATCGAGTGTTGTAGCCAGAGCTCCGCCCCCAATCCCCTAAGGCCCCAAGGCCTGAAACGTAAAACAGATTCAAGAGCAACGCATCGGGCTCCTGATCGCAGTTCGTGACGATGGATGTGTGGACCGTCAGCAAGCTGCAGTTCAACACCTTACTGGGCACTGCCCGGGTCCCAGGGATACATAGCAGTTAAATCAGCTTCTTCCTATTGTGCTTCCATAAGGCTGAGGCTCCAAGTATACGCATCTGGAGTGCCCTCTTTAGGTCTAAACTACGTAGGCCTCTGGGAGATTTTATATTTGCCCTTGTTGGGCTTTAATAGGACCCTATTTACGATTTTTGTTTCAGAGGCTTGAAAGGGCCAACCTAGCGAAGTGTACAGATAGCTCTTACTTTGGACTACTTGAAGTCTGAAGGTAAGCCGCTCGAGGTCCAGATGATCGCTAACTCGCTAATTCCTGACATCTCAGACAGCTCCTAGAGGCTCCATGGTAGTTCCTTTTTGTGGTTTATGTTGTATTTAGGATCCTAAAAGTAATCCCAGATCCCAGAAAAGGAACTACAATGGAGCCTAAAACGGATTGGGATTGTGAGTGCGAAGCTCAGGGTCCCGGGGTGCGTCACACGACTGCTCGCGGGGCTTTTGGGGTTTACCGATGTATATAATATAGGGTTTAGGGTTGAGGGTTTAGGGTTTAGGGTTTAGGGTATACTGTAGCATGATCTCATAGTACATTTTCGTGGTACTATGTTCCTTATGATTCCGTTTTAGAAGTATATGATGCTCCTTTCAACCCTATGCTAACCATTCAGGCCACTTCTTAGGGACAGGAAGGGCAGGAGTGGCGTGTGACTTTTAGAAAAGAACATATACCGCCGTTTGAGGGCAATGTTTAGGATTGATTACTGCGAGAAGTAAGCTATAGCAAAGGCAGGCTTTGAGCTGCCATCCTCAACCAGTCTGATGGATTTCACAGATTTCGGATTCAGGGTTTGGGGATTAGGGCCGTTAGTTTCAGGGTTTCGAGACCGTCTTCACAACACGACCTTCCAGCGAAGAGGCCAAGCGCAGCTTCTACGACCTGGCAAACGACAATGCCGCCTGGACTTGCATCCGGGTTGACTATATCGTTTTTTATAATGTTACATTGTAACGTGTTTTCGAATATCCTCCAACGTGTGCGACTGGAGGCTCTCTATGTCTATGAGGCTCAATGATCACAGCAAGCCGTAACTCGAAGTCCAAAATCCAGACTTAAGAGTCCTGCGACCTGGTCCCTGGAAGCCCTCAAAGTTCGGACTCGAAATACAATTCAAAACTTTGTTTTAGTGATAGCTATAAGCATAGATCTATAAAGTATGTATTTATATATATATATATATATATATATATTTTATAGTGCGTAAATATAGGGCTTTCAAACCACAGGTCTACCAGTACATCGGCATCAAAGCGGCCGGGCAGGCTCAGGCGCAGAAGGCAGCGGCTTATCACCTTAGGGCTCCCTAGAACTGTCTGGTGCTTAGTAGGGAATGGGGGAATGGATCTCTATCGTAGTCCCTATCTAATCCCCACTAAAAGTCTCCATAACCCGTTTCCTCATTCCCACTAAGAACCAGACAGAGAAGGAATACATACCGAGAGACTCCAATATTCCTTTGGGATCTCTTGGGCTCCTTTAAGGTTAAGGGCCAAGGGATCTATAGGGTTTAGTACTTAGGGTTTAGGGTTATTAGTGACTCCAATGTTTCTTAATTAAGGAATATACATGTTGGAGTCTCTGGGGATATAGTGTTAAGGATCTAGCGCTAACGATTTGGGGGATGGGGGCTACAGGGCTTTCGGGGTGTATGTTGTGACGCTCTGGAGGTCTTGACGAAATTGCGAAGCTTACTCTGACATTGGAGCATCGAGCTATAAAGTATGATTAAGTAGGTCAGGATTCCGAATATTTGATTAAAATACTGTTTCTGACAGGGTCCTCTGTTCATATTGGGAGTAAAGCATAATTACCCTAAGCCCTATTCAAACAGTTGTGGCCCCTATGTTGGATAACTTCTTGGTGGGTTCGGTTCTTTGGTAGCTTCTAGTGCACCCGCCACCTATTCTTGAAGCAGCATCAGTCTTAGCCCGTCGTCAGCCAACATAAGGGGTTCGAAATTTGAACAATGTTGTTCCCCACGCTTTCTGGTATACATGCATATACACACAAGTATAAACTGCATAACCATACATGGGAAGGCATACACAGATAGAGCAACAACTTGGCACTTACCTGAGGCTCGTTTATCCTAAAACCTGAACTCTTACGTACCTTATCTTGACGATCCAAGTATGATCACCGAAACATTGAGCGTCATATTTACTCATAGGCTCCATTGTAGTTCCCTTTGGGGATTACCTTATAGGATCCTAAATACAAACCACAAAAAGGAACTACTATGGGGCCTCTAGGTAGCCCCAAAATCGACTCTTGCACGCGCTCAGCTGGCTCACATCTCGCGCTTGTGCCCGTGAAGGGATTCTTCTAAAGACACGGCCCGAGTCTGTAAGCTACCCTACCGCCATGATCCCGAACCCTGATGATATAAATCCTAACATTATCCAGAGTAAGGACTATACCAATATTCCCATAGTGTAGGGTCCTTAAGGTAACAAAGTCTTTATATCGCCAACAGTATCACACGGCCTGACCAGCCTGCAAAGCTTTGAGGAACACCAAACTTCAAAGCAGCGTCAAGTGGTTTTGCTGATATAGCATGGCGATGCTTTGTTCACTCGTACATATTTCTGACTACAACAGCTGACGTTTTGTTTGTATTCGAGCGTGGTTTAGGATAAAGTTTAGGAGTTTAGTACTTCGGGCTCGTAGTGCTTTCTGCATGGCCTTCGCATTTCACTGGCCCGTTGCCTTTGAAGTCAGGTGGCGCTTGCTGTATGGCAGCTTTCTTTTGGGGCTTCTGCCTTTGAGTACTCTGCTTTGTTCCTGTGAAGATCACATATACGAAGTTGTGAGCACTTGGTTGGGGCTTTGCCTGGGACTCGTGCATGTCCCTGGCTCCTCGGCTGGCAGACGTGGCTCCTGGAGATGCACAGTTGTGCTGTGTGGTTTGATCACCTTTCTTTCTACCTGTCTCGCAGGCTATCCATGCGTTCTCTGGGCATTTCCGCGCCTAAATCAAGATGAACATGGTGTCATTTTCGATCCTCGGGATCAGCATGGTTTCACTTCCGGTCCCGGCCAGCAGACAATTCCTGTGTTCCTGCTCTTGCTGATATGGATTTGGTGCATGCTGAGAAAGCACCCAAAGTCTACTTGCACACACGATGCAAAGTGGTGCATGTTCGCATGTTGGCTAGTGTCGGCAGCATGGCAGGCTTCATACATATGTCTGGAGTTGAAGCAACGTGCAACTGAAACTTGCTTGAATCATTTCCGCTGCGGAGTGCAAGGCGTTGCTATTGGCTGGACTTTGTATTTGTTGCAGATGCGGATGTTGGGCATCTGGTCTGGTTTGCAGCGAGCCTCTTGTTGGACTCCTGGTTCACAAATCTGGTTACTCGTCATTTGCAGCAGCTGGCTTACACGCGAAATCTCCGTAACCATAGCCGAATCCTCAATTGCAAGTTCGGGAGGTGAGTCTGTGAATATTTGGCCCTTCGTCGTCAGCTTGTCTGTGCCCTGTATTGTTTGGTTTGTATACACGGCGCTGATATGCTGGAATTTGGCACTCAAGTTTGGTCTTTTGCTGCGAGAGACGGGGCGAGTTCGAGGGCCTCCAAGGAAACAGGCTATCTGGGCCGCGCAAGTCATTGGCATGGAGATGCTAACATGTACACTGCTGGGGTTAGGCACATGGTACCATCACGTCGTCTCCGGCATGTGCATGTACGCGCATGTGCGGTTGTGGCGTGTCCCGTCAGATGCAAATTATCGGGTGTGGCTTTCTTGGAAGGAGCGAGTGAACGAAGCCGAAGGCACAAACTGGGTCGTGAGTTCCCTAGGACTCGGCCTTCTGTCGGGCATTCTTTGGCAAGTGCAACCTCCCAACGATGACCCGCAGTCTGCAAGCGAACTTACACGAGGACTCGTGTCCATGTCAAGTTTTCTGGGCCCGAGGGAAAAGCAAATGTACGACAAGGTGGTGAAGCAGCTGGCAAACCGAGGCTTTCGCCTTGGAGCGCTTCTCAGCTTCTGGAGACGGCTTCTCGATAGTCAGTTGATGCCGGGATTTGACCCCCAGCGCTCCTTGACGAACGACGTGGTTCGACGTGCCATCATCCCAGAAACCCGACTGGGACACGGCGGCTGTGCCCTGGCAACGATGTGGTCCAGTGCCGAAACGAAGCCGCAAGTCATGGTTACGCACAACTGGACCAACGGCTTTGGAAGCCTTATCGCGGCAATCCTGGCGGATGCTTTGGGGCGGGGTTCCTATCAGGAGGTTGCGGCCCAGATTGCCACACCATCAGGCCTTGAACAGGCCCAGGCGAAGTTAGCCGGCAAGCTGGAAACAACCTACTGGGTGTGTGCCTTCTGCATCAACCAGCATGCCAGTATTTGTGCTGGTTTCGGGCCCGAACCGCCGCAGGGGACTCCCGAATGGGCCGCTTGGGACGGGAGGCGGCATGATTCGGTAACCGGTGAAAAGTTTGTACTTTGCAACTGTCAGGTGGAGAAAGTGTTTAGCCACACTGACGCAAGGTGTGAATTGAACAAGTTCGATGACATGATGACGCACCTAGCGCTGGAGGTTCCGGGTTTTGCGCAACTCATCGTTGTCGATGACGCGTTTGAGGTGTTGTACCGGGCGTGGTGTGTTGCAGAGATATTTGAAGCCAGCGTGCTGGGCATGGAATCCCGGATACAGGTTTTTTCTCAGGATGCCGTGGATCAGAACTACGACAAGCTCTCACTCTTAGATGTCAGACATTGCACGGCGTCATCACAAGCCGACAAGCAGATGATCATGGCGAAGATATCAGATGTGGAAGTCTTCAACTGGAAAATCCAACAGCTTGTGTTCAGCGAAGAGATGGGTTTGTTTTCACAGTGGGTGGACGGGACCGAGCGTTCCCGGCAAGTCGGGAGAATTGTGCGGCGCTGTGTGAGCCGGGCAGAAAGCACCCAAGACAAACCTATCCGCACATCTCGCAGATGCTGTGCTTCGTTTCGGTTGCTTGCCTCTCTGGACGGCGACTCCGACCACTCGTCCGAAGAGACTCCGACATCAGAGACTTCGGATTTGCTGTGAAGCAGCAGCTGAAAATTCGGGTGACTGTCGCAGAGGGAGACAAATTGCCACTAACCCCACATCTGCTCTTTCAGCCAGCTCCCGCCCTTTGCCACCTATGCCGCGCTTCCGATCTTGAGACGTTCACACCTCCAACCCTATACACCGCTACACATGTCCACGTACGCCGGTGCAATCGCCTTCGACCGCACGTCGGAGTCATAGCTCAACCTAAATCCTAAAGATCCAGGCCGTCGAACAGAGACCCCCAAAGCCCCGAACCCTAAACCCACGCAGGGGGCTGCTACAGAAGAGGACCGGCCGGCTTTTGATATTGGCATGGAAGTGCGGGGACGGTTCCTCTTCCACCCACTTTACTGCTGATTTGTTTATGGTCCCCGTGTCCCGTGTGATTGTACTACAGTCGTCCCCAGACTGAAGGATTTTCTTGTGCTAAGCATAACCCAACAGGAACCCGGATGAGAGGACGAAACTAGCACCTCATGTGAGTCTACCCGAAGGGTTCTACTGTAAGTACGGTTATCGGGCATACTTTCACAAACAATAAGAGTAATTTTTCCCAATATAGAAACTCTACATTCTACCATGTAGGTACTTAGGACCCTTTGGGCTAGATTTGGTAACCTTTAACCTTCTGGAGCTTTATATAATCCTACCATATAATTTAAAAGGTTAACCCCATAGACTCCATTGTAGCTCCTTTTGCGGGTTACTGTACTTTATGGGAACTACTATGGAGCCTCTAGGTAAGCATGTGAGCCTAGATGAAAGGCTCTCTAAACTAGTGTCCCCTTGCTAGGTCCCCCAAAATAATATGCCACCCGTAGAGACAAGACCCTACAAGGGGCCCAAAGTTAGAGAACCACCCAGATGGACTAGGAGACGCAGAGTAGGCCCTTATTCCCTTTTTAAGGGTTTAGGTTCCCTTCTAACCCCCTTTATCCCCAAAAAGGGCACCCTTTTTTATTCCTAGGTTACTCTTGGGTCTGGTGGAAGGAGCCTATAACCCTAAACCCTAAACCGTAGGACCCTAAAAGGGGCCCAAAGGTAGAGAACCACCCAGATGGAAGGAGACGCAGAAGAAAGGATTCCAGATTGGCAACGTCTTCGTCCAATGCCTTTGCTCCGAGGCTCCTCCCAGACCTTCCAAAAAGCCCCTTAAGTAAGGAATATACCTTAAATCATATTAGGGACCCTATTGTAATTTAAGGTATATTCCTTAATTAAAGGATTTTGGAAGGTCTGGGCTTCCTGTAGTAGACTGGGTTTTGGGGTTTCGGGTTTGGGGGGGTTTTACGGTTTCGGGTGGTTCTTTTCGTAGTAGACTAGGTTTTTGTGTTTTACGGTTTAGGGTAATCGACCCTTTTCGTAGTAGATTAGGTTTGGGGGTTTACAGTTTAAGGTAATCTTAAACGTTTTTGGGGGTGCTATAGAATCCCTATAAAACCTTAAGGTTAACCTGTAAATCCTCTGGGATACTGGACAAGCAGGGGGATAGGGTTCGTGGCTCACGGGGTTTAATTCGAGGTTCAATCATGGGCTTGTTTTCGTGGTGCCGAGGTTCGAACTCGTTTGGGAACGGCCTTTTCTGCCTGCATAGTCTGCAATATCCCACCTGCTAGCCCTGCAGTGGTTTTGATTCGCTATCGCGATCACATGTTTTGGGTCGTCATCGTGAGCAGAGTGTTGTGGCAGCAGTTCTCCAACCACATGACGGGCACGCAGACGAGCGGAATGACAGTGACCAAGACTATAGTCACCATGCCACCACGAAGTACGCACGCGCATGGTCAAACTAAGCATACCTACAGCTTCGAATGCTGCCTGTCAACGCCCCTGTACTCCTTGCAAGCCTTGACAACCGAGGTAAGTAGATATACCCCTTGTGTCACTTGTGCCATTATTCCGTGAATATGCCAGAGACGAACCGCCTCAGGTTAACACGCATGTAACGGCTTGCTGCTGAACATATGTCAAATACCTAATTAAGAGTCTAACAGCTGTCATAGTTGAACAAAGTCCTGGCCCGCAGATCATGCGCTTCGACATCGCCTTGAGCCCGAGCGGGGTGTTGCTCTAGGGACACGTTGCGGGCTTCTGACCGAATCCTCTCGTTCAGTCTCAGAGAACCCCAAACCCTATAAGCCCTTAGCCTAGGCCGGAAAAGCAGCGCTAGAAGACTCAGTTCTGCAGCTTGTTTTTCGAGTTTGTGCTGAGCTTTTGGTTGCTGGATCTCTGGCTGATCAGGTTCGCGTTGAACAAATGCGGGGCTTCAGGAACCGGGGTATGGACCGTGGCATGAGGTTGGTCTGATGGATTCCGAGTATGGGGTCTTCGATTTGAGGGGATATTGGGGTCGTATAGGATCCGACACCCCAAAGCCAAACCCTGAAGGTAGATAGTCAGATAGATGTTCTGAAGTCGTTCGCCGAGGCCTTGAACAACTGGCAGTTCCTGCCAAAGCCGGAACTGAAGGACATGCGCTTTCTGCAACGTTAACCCTAAGGCTCCATGTACATATACAGTATGTGCCGAGGACTCCACGGGGTTCCTATGTAGGCGCTGTAAGGCTCATCAGTACAGACTCTATAGGTACATGAAGCCTTGGGGTGACTAGGAGGTTATGGCTGTGGGCTCCCCCGGGCTAGAGCATAGCCCATGAACTGGACCCACAGGAAGACCGCAAAAAATCATGGGTTGTGTAAGCCCCAAGCCCTAAAATCCCGAAAGTTGAGAACCTGGAGCCCAAAGAATCAGTATACTATACCTTAACCACAAGTAACTTACCTTTCTAAGGACTTGTATGAAGAAATCAGATTAGGGAACCCTAAAAAAGTTAGGTTCCTTAGGGCCCAGGTAATCAATGTATAATAATACGCGACAATATATACCCCATTCAAAGTATGCACGCGGTGCACCCGGAGCCCTCCAGAAGCCGAAAAGCCTAAAACCCATGAGCCGACAACGACTCGAAGCATGTTCGGCCTTGCCTTTGGGGTTTAGGGCTCTAGGGACTTAGGGTTTAGGGCTTTAGGGGTTTAGGATTTAGGGTTTAGGCGTTTAGGGTTTAGGGGTTTAGGGCTTACCTTAACCCTGAATAATCTACCCTTTTTGGGGGCTCCTCAGTAGAGTTTGTGGATATAAGTCCTGAAACATGTAGGTTCTTCGGGGTTAAGGTAGGGTTCAGGGTAGAAACGCCAATGGGAGAACTTTAAGCTTTTGGGCCTCCCATGTTTGGTCTGTTTTAGAGCGTTGGAGATTTTGGGGGGCTCGGTTATTGAAGAAGAGAGGCGAGGGGCTCAGGTCTCTTGAAGGAGAGAGAGAGAGAGAGAGAGAGAGAGAGAGAGAGAGAGAGAGAGAGAGAGAGAGAGAGAGAGAGAGAGAGAGAGAGAGAGAGAGAGAGAGAGAGAGAGAGAGAGAGGAGAAGAGAGCAGAGAGCAGAGAGAGAGAGAGAGAGAGAGAGAGAGAGAGAGAGAGGCGAGAGAGAAGAGGGAGAGAGGGAACGAGAGAGAGAGAGGAGAGAGAGGAGAGAGGGAGAGAGGGAGAGAGAGGGGGGAGAGAGGGAGAGGGAGGAGGGAGAGAGGGAGAGAGGGAGAGAGGGAGAGAGGGAAGATTAGGGAGAGAGGGAGCGAGGGGGCGGGAGGAGGGGGAGGAGGCGAGAGAAGGGAGAAGAGGGAGAGAGGAGAGAGGGAGGAGAGGGAGAGAGGGAAGAAGGATAGAGGAGAGAGTCGAGGGACAGAAGAGAGGGAGAGAGGGGAGAGGAGAGAAGATGAGAGACGGGAGAGAGGAGGAGAGGGAGAGAGGGGAAGAGGGGGAGAGCGGGAGAGAGGGAGAGTGAGAGAGAGGGAGAGAGAGAGCGAGAGTGAGGAGAGAGAGAGAGAGAGAGGGGGAAGAGAGAAGAGGGAGAGAGGGAGAGAGGGAGAGAGGGGGAGAGGGAGAGAGAGAGAGAGAGAGAGAGGGAGAGGGAGAGAGAGGGAGAGAGAGGGAGAGAGAGGGAGAGAGAGGGAGAGAGAGGGAGAGAGAGGGAGAGAGAGGGAGAGAGAGGGAGAGAGAGGGAGAGAGGGAGGGAGAAGGAGACGGAGAGGGAGAGAGAGGGAGAGAGGGAGAGAGGGAGAGAGGGAGAGAGGGAGGGAGAAGGAGACGGAGAGGGAGAGGGAGAGGGACAGAGAGAGAGAGAGATCAAGGGAGGGAGAGGGAGAGAGAGAGAGGGAGGGAGAGGGAGAGAGAGCGAGAGAGAGAGGGAAGAGCAGGCTGGAGAGTGAGTGGCGAGAGAGTATCTGTAGGTAGAATAGAAAGTGAGAAGATAGTATATTGGATTAGATATAGAGAGAGTGGTATAGAGAGATAGAGAGAGAGAGCGATAGTTAGAATGGAGCGGGGAGAGGGAGGGGAGAGGTAGAGGGAGAGGAGAGAAGAGGGAGAGTGATATTGAGATGGTTGGAGTGGATAAGGTGAGAGGTAAGGGTAGAGGGAGAGTGAGAGGGAGAGGTATGGGAAAAAAGGTGAGTGAGAGGGAGAGGAGGAGTGGAGAGAAGGGAGAGAGGATGATGGATATAGGATAGGGAGATGGGATAGTAGGAGAGTAGGTAGATGGAGAGAGCAGAGATAGAGGGGAGGGAGAGCGGGAGGGAGAGAGAGAGAAGGAGAGAACAGAAGGGGAGAGGAGAGAGAGAGAGAGGGATGGAGGGAGGGAAAGAGGGAGGAGAGTGGATAGAGGGAGAAGAGAGAAGAGAGAGGAGAGAGAGAGAGAGAGAGAGAGAGAGAAAGAGAGAGAGAGAGAGAGAGGGAGGGGGAGAGATAGAGGGAGAGAGAGGGAGAGAGCGAGAGAGAGACAGAGAGAGAAGGAGAGAGTAGAGTACGAAAAAGGAGAGAGAGACAAAGAGCAGACGGAGAGCTTCACAGCTCTAAGGCCCAGGAGGGTTTTAGTTGCTTTCCGTTTCTGGGTGCTTGATTGGTGTTTGGGCTTCATGGTTCAGGGTTCAAGGGATCTTCAGGCAAGGTCGGGTGATCTGCCCCCGAAAGCGCACAGTCAGACTCCCGAGAGAAAGAATGACCAGAAAGATATGCGCCACGTATCAGACGATGAAGCACCAATACCATACAGGGAACTGGCGCCCAGGAGTCATCGAAACAAGCTGCATAAAACCTGGCACCTCTAAGCCCCTCATCCCATACAGCCCTAAACCGTATAATTTATGAAACATATCAACCCGAACACCCTAAAGCCCTAACACCCTACACCCTAAACCCTTAAACCCCAGATCCCAAAACCCTAAACCCTAAAACCCTGAACCTTAAACAGCAGAAGCCCTTTTGAAGGACAACACGACGAAGAAGAAGCTCCGGCTTGGGATTCCCACAGGCACGGCTGGGCGGTCTCACCAGGCTTTCTGCTCGGGTTTAGGGCCGTTTAGGAGGTTTTAAAGGTTTAGGGTTTATAGGGGTTAGGGTTTAGGGGGTAAGGTTTAGGGTTTGTAGGTTTCAAGGTTTAAAGGTTTTAGGGTTTTACGTCTATAGGGTCTAGGGTTTAGGGAAGTTTAGGAGATCGGTGCGGAGGTTTGGGACGTCATCATGTTGGAGTTGGTCTGCTGCTTTAGAATCTGTGAACCTTACATAAACTCAAACCCTAGTCTATAGGGTTATACTGTAGGAGTCCTCATGATAGAATTCTCACATGATGGGAGTATTGCAGCGGAAGGCCGGGTCCTATGAACTTCATAATTTCTGAGTGAGCCCCATTATAAGCCCTATTCATGGGAGTAATCGAGCCCCAAACCTTACAAACCCTAAACTCTCTTCTTGCAAGGGTTATCTGGAAGAGGTCTGGTGGGTTGCGTATCTGAAAAACCGAGACCAGATCCAACTCTAGACTCTAACCCAGAGGGTCCAAGTACCCAAATAGTAGGGTCTTAGGTCCCAAAATCCATACTCTGAATGGTTTTTGGACCCTGAACCCTACTATTTGGGTACTTGGACCCTTAGGGCAAAGCAACGTTCAGGATAGGGCTTGAATGATTAGAGTAGGGTTTGGTGGGCCCATGACACTGTAATTATAATAGGGAACCACCAAAATAGTATTGGTAGTAACTTTTGGCCCCTACATTGCAGGTTTTAGGTTATGCCTCAAACCCTTGTTGGGTCCCCTACGAGCCCGAGGGTCGAAGTAATTAAGTTCTAAGGCTGCCCCCGACATGTGCCCTAGAGTCTGGAGACCTTTAGCCTGATAGGTTAGATCTTTAAACCTCGTAAATCACATCTAAAATCATGCGCAACAAGAACAACCCGAACCCTGAGTTCTGTTACGCCAATCAAAACCCGAACTGAACCGAACATCGTCCCAGGCTGTCTGGTGCTTGGTAGGGAATGGGGGGAATTGGGTTTTTATAATAATTTCTATATAGTCCCCGATACTAGTCTCCATAATCCATTCCCCCATTCCCTATGAGGAACCAGACAGAAAAGTCGTCCCAGGCCCCAAGAAGGGCAACGACACCTTCGAGACCGAGCCATCGGATCCCCCTGTGTACAGCTGGGCTCGGGTGGAGGGCCCAGGTTCGGTTCCTATAAGGGATCTATAAGGGTAAGGGTAACTATAAGGGTTCTATGAGGGACCTATAAGGGTACTACAAGGGATTCAGGGGTTCTTGTTGAGGAAGTATTTATTTAAGGTACCATAGTAGGGATCTAGAGTAGATAAGATGGTTTCCTTACTATGGTAACTTAAATTGAATCCCTTAACACGAACCCAGTTTATGGGCTTTGCAGTGCTTTAGCCTGGCTGAAAGCTTTCTTGTTGTAGGGGGAGGGGGTAGGTGTGGCTGCAGGGCTTTACCCAAGCACAAGTAATGCTTTGTGAGGATTGGCGACAGAATCTTGGGTTGTGGGTGCATCGCGAATGAGTTTTTTTTGGTAGGGCGCTTTCAATGAAGCTCAGCAAGTAGGTCGTTATTGGAGGAGGGGGGGTTCTTCGCAGTGTGCTGAATAAGACGTACTGTAATGATCAGTCGACTTCTTGCCAAGTTCATGTGCTTTAAACCCCAAATACAGTAGTAGAGCACCCAGACCAAGGTTCGAAAGTCTGATACATTCTGCAAACCCTAAACCACCGAGTAGTTAGGCAGGAAGGGGAATTTCCTTAAACCTCAACCCATAAGGGTGGCCGTTTCGTAGCGCCAAGGGCGGCATGTTCATCTACAAAGGGACGAAGGAGCCGGTCTCGGGAAGGTCAGCTTGAATTGAAGGCTTACCTGAACCTGAACCGCAAGAGTATGTAGAATAGCCTTTCGTAGGATTTGGGCCATGACTTACCTACTTTTGCGGTTTTGAGCTAGTTCCGCAGGATTGGATCGATCAAGTCTCTAGCCGTAGTCCCTGTAGATGTTATTTCGGTGTCTGGTCAATCGCTGGACAACCGCGCGGCTGACAGACCTCTGGGTCCGCGAGAGAGAGAGAGAGAGAGAGAGAGATCGAGATCGAGGTAAGGGTTCGGCCAGGTCTCCGCGAAGGCCATTACAAGGGCATTACATCTCGTTTGCAGGGTCATTAAGTGTTGGCGACTTGCTTAAAAGCTTTCGGGGTAGCTTTTCGAATGTGATAGGCTCCAAGAGTCCCAAGTTTATGCAGGCATCGGGGTTCCGGAAAACGAGCTCGCCCGGTTTAGGGCATGCTTTGGAAGACGGAAAGCTACAATCATCATGAGCCCCTGAGTTTAGGGGTTTAGGGTCTTCGAGTCGGAAGTGCTGTAGAGTTTTGCAAAACCTTAACCCTTAAACCCTAAACCCCCAACACCCCAGGAGTACCCAGGCCAGCCCGGCCTCAACTGTACCTTCTATGTTCACGCCTGTAGTCCAACCTCAACACCATTGAGTGACATGCAGCTGTGTCGTTTCCGAGGCCTGACTGGTTACAAACCTGTTTCTAATCTGGTAGTAAGACCTTGGGGAGGGATTCAGTCAGCGCAGATACAGTTACTTTTTCGATAGACGACTTGCTGCTTCTTCTCGTCATGACTGTCCCGGCTTAGAATGGTCTTGTCTTACCTGTCAGACTCCGAATCACATGCCTCGCCTGGATTGTGCGAGTGTGAGCGCCGAAACCTCAGGAGGGCGTCCGACGGACACATGCCACTGCGTGAAAACAAAAACCTAACCCCTAAACCCCGACCTCGAACCATTTGCCTCGCGTGGATTGTGCGAGTGTGACTGCCGAAACCCTTGAAACCCTAAACCCAAAACCCTTAGAGTCTTGTAGAACACTTGCAGGAAAGCTGCACGCCAATCCGTACAGCGACCTTCTGTCTTCACTAAACTGCAAGAAAGCCTCAACCCTTTCTCCCACTGTGCTCACGCAAAGTGTCCTAAGTAATTACCTATATAGTAGAATGTAAGGCTTCTACATTAAGAATCATTATTATGATTTGGGAAAGTATCCTTTTGGCTCAAGTCTGGCCAGTTCCAACCACCCCTCCGTGGAAGCCTCGACTCAAACCTGAACCTTAAACCCGCCGCAGGAAAGCCTCAACAATGAGGTCTTGACGATTGAGGCCACGCGCTCAGAGTACCCTACAGCAGCCCTCTAGTTTAACGTCTCTATTTCAGGAAGCTGGGTCTGGTAGTAGACGATGCACGGCTGAAGTTGGGGCCGAGCCATTGCCTTGGTATTTGTTAGTCCGCCCCCCTCCTCTTTTTCTGTGAGGCGCCCCGAGACTCAGAGGACTTGTCATTGTTGCTGTTCGCCTAGTTTCCAGAGCCTGGCACGACCTGCTGTGCTCGTGTCTTTTTTCCGGGGTTGCAGTGCGAGCATGCTCTGCATAATCAGCGTGCCTGACCAAAGCCTATAACCCCGAGCTTCCCTTTGGGTACTATAGGGGCCTTGAAATAATTACCAATACTATTTTGAGGGTTCCTTATTATAACTGGAGTATAACGGGCCCCAAAAAAACTAGTCTAATTATTAAGGCCACTAATGCTTTCGTGACTTTGGTGTGTGTTCTCCCGGGTGGTGCGAGGTTTGAGAGTGGAAATCCTGAGATGTAACACACACGCTCATTCCAGCCCCTTGACTCTGAAAGCCGGCGGAAGAGGAGCTTTGTCTGCTTGTGTGCCGACACAGAACACATGGGAGTTTCCGAAAATCGGGGACCCTAATATCATACCCTGAATATTCGGATCCTTATTATAAAGGACCCCAAATCAGGTACACCTAGTTTTCGGTATCTCCCACATGCACTAGAGCCCGAAGCTGTGCATCCTTAGGCGACCCTTCGACCTCCAAAAACTTTATCCTTTGAACTGTGAGTCATCCGGGATTCATGAGAGCATGGGTGTAGGGCCCGATCCGCTAGACGTCCTGCGTCTGGCCTTGCAAACTCCAGGCATGCACAGGCGCAGGACGAAGCTGGATCGAGGCTGATCTTCCGAAGCCCTGAACCCGAAACCACGAGGTTCTTGGCCAGAAGGGTGGCCAGTGGGCGCCGCAGGGCAAGGCCTCCACCACCATACGCACACAAGAGCTTTGAGCGTTGACCCGCGGATTAAGATGATGTTTGCTGTTTCTTGTCGTCCGATGAGGCTTGAAATCAATATAGGGGCCTAATCAATTGCCAAAAATATTTTTTTGAGATTCCTGATCTTATCATTACATATGGTTTAATGGGCCCCAAAACCGTATTCTAATTACTAAGGCCCCTATATCCCAGAGGGTCCATATACACTACCATTATGGAATTAGGTCCCAGAAGACCATCCTCATTATGGTTTTGGGGACCTAACTAATTCCATAATAGTAGTGTATATGGACCCTCTGGGTATTAAAGGAGTTTATTGCCGGAGGCCTTGGTCGGCCTTCGGGGAGCTATCGACTACCCCATCGCCGTGGGCGTGGTCGGGAAGCCACAGCTTCAAGGGTTCCGACGGCTTAGGCACAGAGGGCTCGCATAGGGGCCTAAATATTTTTTGCGGTTTAATTACTATAGTTACAGTATAATATGCCACAAAACCCTATTCTAATTATTAGGGGCCCTATATTAAGGCACAGAAGGCTAGACTACTTAGACTCGCTTTGGGAATGCTGTGACTTTTGGAAGCACGGACTTAAGCCTTGAAGCTTGAGGGAGTTCTGATAAGGTGTTCTGCGAATGTAGGAACCTGATTAAGAAACCTTGAGCCTTTGTTTAGGGTTCCTTTTATGAACCCTACTATTTTGGGGTTATAGACCCAGGGTTTCTTAATCAGTTTCCTACTTTTAGGGGGTTCAAAGTCATGAATACCGGGCTCTTCGGATATGGAGGACTCGAGACTTCGGCCTCCCTGCGCAAAGGAGGATGTTAATTTCACAGGATTTTTATGTATTATGTTATGTGTATGTATGTGTATATATATATATATATATATATATTACATACGAGATATTGTATATATATATAACGTATTGAAAAAAGCTTCTTGGATTTATGGCAGGTAGGAAAGTTTCTCATGTTCGAAGCCCCGAAGCGTTGAGAGTCCACGACCTGTCCGAACCCCCGGCAGCCTCCGCTCTCTATCTTCCTCCGTTTGATTGGGTCTTGTTAAGGGGTCTAATTCAAAAGACCTTAATTAATAGTGATCTATAGCAAATGATATGGTTTCCTTATTTATGCTAACTTTTAGTTAAAACGAACCCAGCCGAAGGTGAAGATCCTGACGACTTCCAAGAACGACTACGTGCCGGGAAGCCCAGGCCGTGCGGGCAGTGGCTGAGGCCTCATGGGTGTAGAGTCATTAAAGGGAACTCCAGAAAGTTGGAATATGGTTTCAGGGTAGGATACCCTATAATTTACCATAAAGGGTTTAGGATAATGATATTCCAACTTTCTGGCTTTTACTGTAAAGGGTATTCATGATTCATGGGTTGGGGTTCTGGCTACCGCTTCCTGAAGACTTGGGGTGAACTCCCTCTAAGTGTGGTGCAACTTCTGCTTGTTCCGTGGTTCTGTCAGGTGTGGCGAAGGTTGGGGCTTTTGCCGGTTTGGGAAGGACGAAGGCAGGATGTAGGATTTCAGGAGGTGTGTGAACGAATGGCGGCTTCCGATGGGAGCGCAGTTAATTCACAAGTCACTGCGCTTGACAGCGTGAGTTTACAGGAATCGTCGGAGTTTGTTTTATACATGATTATGCCGATTATGCTCTGGTTCAAGCCTAGTTCAGAATCTCGACGGGTAATGGCCTCATCACGTCATTGCGGGCCGACATGGGCGAAGGGGCAGCAGTCGAGTCTTCTGTGAGATATGCATCCCCATGGGCCAGCACCCTTTGTCTGAACGGTTAAGGGTTCAGGGTCCCATAATACTGCAACCCCGCCACTTCAAACATCCCACAGGCGTTCAGCCCCGAATCCTGAAACCGTCAGGGAAGCCCTCAAAAAGTGAGCTCCGCCCTGAGGCAAGGTCGAGCGGGTGGATCCATTTCCATGGCCATGCGATCACTGGCCTTGAAGGTGGGCCTTGTTGAGAATATGAGGGCTTTTGGTTTAGGGTTTGGTTTAGGACTTCGAGTGGCATCATATCAATCTTGATGCAGGAAGGTAGTGAATTACTGCCGAGCTCCACACTGATGGCAGAGTTGGATGGTGTTGGGGTCTCCGTGTGGGTTACAACAATGACCGAGCTAAACTGAGTCCATGTGTTACTCGGGTCTTTGGGGTTCCGCTCGTGTCTTTGCTGTCTGCTCGTGCAGACAGGGTTTTCGCGATATGAGACTCAGCAATCCTGTCGAGGAAGCATGTCTGTTTGATGCTGGGTCCAAGAGCCTGTGCACAATAGACTTCGGCTGCGAGTTCCAATTTAGGAGCTGTTATATCAAATAGACAGTGTCGCTGTCTTACTTCCGCCGCGATGTGCGGTTACGCTTTTATCTTCCTGCTCCTTAACAAGTCACAAGTCAAGTGTTGTTAAAGTTTCCTGGGCCGTGAGGGTTGCAGCCTGCAGGTATCTCTCTCGATTGTTGATTCATTGTCTCCTTTGCAGCCCTACCTCACTGACGACCGCGAAATATTCTCCCCTTTACACCATAGCATACCCCGAATTGCTTCTACTGTTTCAGTTAGGCAGATTTTATTGCAAAGCACCATCTCTTTGACCACCCTCCTCCCTTGCAGCCTGGGCAAAACGATGAGGACTCCGCACGTGGCTTGCAATTGTTCAAGGTTCTGGTTATGGTGCTTCCTCTGAAGCCTCATTGCATTCGTAAACTTCGGAAACTCCGTGCTTCTTGTGCACTTGGAGCTCTACTGCCGCGCATTTCGGGGATTGTGGGGCTAGTATTTCCTGGTTTTCAGGATTCCATAACGTCTAAGGAATCTGCAGTTCGCCGTAGTGCCTGTACGGCCTTTCGAAGTTGAGGGATTTCTTGGGCGTCTTAGGCCAAAACCCGGATTGTCCTCCCCTATGAGGTGCACCATAGAGGCCTGAATAATTTGTTACCTGTAGTATTGTGGGGCTTCTTTACAATATCTATAGTAACATGGGCCCCAAAGCAGCAAGCGGGAGCCAAAAAAATGGGCCCCAAAACCGATAGTATTGTGGGGTTTCCTGTAATATCCATAGTATTGTGGGGTTTCCTTATGATATCTATAGTAACTTGGGCCCCAAAACACGATTCTACTTATTAAGGCCCCTTTGGTACCAGCCCGCACAGATCGGACCAGGACTCGTCTGTCCCGCGGCCCATGCAGGACCTCACCTCGCCCTGGCCTTACGATTTAGGGTCAAGTTTAGGATTTAGAGTTTAGGGTTTGGGCTTGACGTTTCGAATGCCTGGGGGAGAGAGAGAGAGAGAGAGAGAGAGAGAGAGAGGGGGTTTAGGGTTTATCTTCGGGGTGCCGTGCAGATTCATGGATGGTAGCTTATAAGGCTCTTAGTGGCAAAGCCTGTACCATCACTGTGCCCTTATCTTCTAGCAGTGGCCGAAGGTTGTCTTGCAACAGCTGTCAAACGGCTGTTGACACAAGACGTTTTGGGATCTATTGTAGGGGCTTGGATAGGGGTTTCGGGAGAATTGCCTATTACTATGTGCATCATTACAAACCTCGAGCAAGTATATGTTCGGTAATCATGTAGGCCCCTGCTTTAGTTCTTTAGTTGTTAGAGGGTCGAAGGTTTTATGCTTCAGACGAACCTCGTAGTTGGACAGCCGAGACCCTATGGGCCCTGCCCTTCCAGTAGTTGGACACATCTGGGAGTGTCCGAAAACGGGGGACGCCCAATATAGTGCCGTAAAAAGCCCTAAGTTTCGGACACTCCCATATGGATAAGGCAGAGCCGAGGGCCAGACACAAGGAATGTTCAGGAGACTGTTCTAGCCAGAGGCGAGACTGGAGGCTTTGCGACGGTTGCAGTGGGATTGGCGTGTCATCGGTGCTACTTAGAGGCCCAGGGGACTTAGTCAGTAGGTTATACTATGTTATACGCGGGGTAAAGAGTACCTTAAATGGAGTTCCCCCAATTATAACCCTACTTGTAACCTGCTTACGAAGTTCCCTAGCCCCCTGGAATCAGCATTCCTCCCCCTCCTTCTGGCAACTGGGCTTTGCTGACCTTGCCTTCGACACGGATCGAGCCCCCGGTTTTATTCTTGCTCCCATCGTTTTATGAAATTTTAGACGGGTTTATAAGGGTTACATGCAGTGGTTCCTAGGACTTCCCGGCCTCGAACCCTCAGAGCCAAGCTCCGGACGTCGGCTCCGCCGAGGCTGACGATGTACTACATCCAGGGAAGCGTCCAACACCTGGTCGTCACGGAGCCCTGGCCGCTAAAGATGTTGCTCCCGACCTCGTGCCCCAAATGCCCAAGACATGCTGCGGGAACGCGTATTGCGACGGAAAGTTGGGCCATGTTTAAAGCATAGGACGCCAGCTTGCCGAAGCCTCACTGAGGCTGCGGCACTTTGATTTGCAAAAGGAACCCTAAATCCTAACACCCTAGACCCTGAAGTGATTAGGCCTTGGAGTCTGACCCCTACATTCTCGGAGCTAGCTGCGAGGTGAATGGGGCAGATGGCCTTCCGGTTGCCGATCCAGACTACGGCTCCTCCAACCCGCTCTGCCCTGAGCTGATCCAGCGAGGGCTTCATGTTTAGGATTTGAGGAGGTGTCTTGCAACTAGCGGCTGACCCAAATCTCTGACCCATACTGCTAAGGTTTTAACTAGGGTTCTTGAGAGGAGCCGTCCACTATATGACTAACAGCAGCGAAGCATTAACAAGCTCGAGGCTTAATGCTCCTTCCCCAAGAGCCGTAAAAAACTCTCTTTATACACCCCAAACGCGGGCCCCAGAACAGCAACTTAAAGCCGAGAGCTGGTAGCCTCAAATCCGCCCCAAAGTCTGGACCTGGTTGAAGTCTCGCGGAGCAGATGAACCTAGCACCAAGGGCCCTGACACTGAACCCTGACTACATATAAGCTATAATTACCTGGTAAAGCAGGTTACAGAAAAGCAGGTTAAAGAAAATCTTCCTTGGAAGGGCACGAGAGACGCATCGCCTGTGTAACTTATACATGGACTTCTCAGTCGAGGGGCCTTCCGGCTCGCCGTGAGGTTCGTTCGCGTGAAGTACGACGGCACCGTGGAGCAAAGTCCTGTGGTGATGGCCTCCCTGGCCCCTTGTTGGAGCTCCTCGGCGGTTCGAGCTTTATAGGGTTTAGTGTTTAGAGGGCCGACTTCCCAAGCCCGGATGCAACAGGGTTTAGAGGGCTTGGGGTTTAGGGTGTCTCGGCGACTAGAAGCCTCTAGCTTTTCGGATGTTCCCTGCTTCAAACATGTTGAGTTTGGGGTGTCACGACTTTTCGGTCCACAGGGTGGCCCTGAAAGCTGTGGGTCCGCTCGATAGCCTCGTCTGGGATATGGTTTTCTTCACAAGCCGAAGCCGGTTCTCTTTCGAGAGAGAGAACAAAGCTGCACTAACAACATTTCCCACTGCTGGATGTGAAAGTTTGAACCCGAAGTCGACGATTAATTAAGCGTTTGGGGTTCAATTGATTTATGATTGGTGTTCTTGCCGGCTGCACGTACATGACAGTAGTGAAGGAGACGGCGACTTCCTTAGCGCAGGAGCTTGCATGATTGTGGTGCCTGTCTTCAAAGCTTAGACTGTGTTCTCTAGAAGATATGCACGGGGTGTGCTTGAGTTGCCCACGCTCTTGCTCCGAGATCACACGTTCTACATCCCGGTCCGCTTCATCGACCCGTGCATCTACAAAGACAAAGCATACAAGAAGAATATCTTTCCGGAGGACCTACGAGCTCTGTAGTCTTAACAAGGGTTTAGGGTTTAGGGCCATGAGCAGAAGATCTGATTAGGCCCAGAAGCCCGAAACCCCGCACGAGGCACCTTTGCATGAACCCTATCTAGCAGGCTTGCAAGAGCACAAGGAAAGATAGTCCGCAGATGGGTTGCCCGTTCAGTTTGCAAATGCTGCTAGATGCAAATGCTGCTAGATGTGAGGCATTCAGATTCGGGTTCAGGGCTCTTGGAATTCTTGCTGTCAGTCGTGCATGTCATGTCCTCCTTCAGTTTTGCTTCCGCAGCCGTTTGCGGTCTCCAGCGAGCCGAAAGCAAGAAAGAGAGAGATACAGACAGACATAGCGAGCAGATATCAGATTACAGCTTCGGCACGCTGAAAGATAGACAGAGGATGGCTACTTCGAGGCGTGAGACATGGCAGCGGATGCTGCTGACTCCGAATCCTATTCAGGAACTTGTGGAGTCGTTCTGTCCAGAGCTTTGGCCACAGATGTCACGGACCCTTGGCAGTGAATTTCATTGAGTATAGGAGAATGGTAGTCATATAGGGCTTATAGGGTTTGTTAGCACATCCTTCTTGGGGGCTGTAGTATCATAGGCTGCGGACGACAAAGGAGCAATACCACCACTTGCTGATGTTGTTGCTGTGTTTCTTCATCCGTGGCTGGCTTCTTCTTGCGAAGACTTTGTTTGTCTTGTACTGTGGCCCTTTCCGGTAGTCATCTTCGTATGCAGGTCATAGTCAGTCATACAGTGTGAGAGACCCGATTAGAGCGACTTATACCCCTGCAAACGTAACGTACCTGCAGGTCCCCTGGTCCTTTTGTATCTTGGGGAGTCTCCTTTTACTTCCTGGTCTGGTCTGGACTTGATACTTTTAAGCAGACACCTGGTACCAAAACAAGTACAGTGCTAAACCCTACAAACCCCTAGACCCTGAATAGATGTTCCGCGAAGTATCTTTGACCCCTTATACATATACACCATGCCTGGGTCTGGAGAGAAGCCGTCGTCTGCCCTCCCATGGCCCCTACGCCCTACCACTCCACCGTCTTAAACCGAAATCCAGCGCTCCACAAGCCCCCTGACAGAAATCCCGCACCTCGAAACCTCAAGCTCTAAATCCCTAGAGCCCAAAATTCCAAAAACCCTGCATCGCACATCTAAATCCAGAAAGCCCTGAACCCATAGACCCTGTACCCCGAACCCTAGATAATCATTATCATCTTTCGATCCTAAGCTACTCAAACTATTCAGCTCGATCCAAGGACGGCCATCTCTGCCCGCACTGTCGCCTTACACAAGACAGGCCGATCCTTCGCGGTGATCCAGGGGCTGGCCTTGGATGCCTTTGACTCCCTGGATGTGTCTGGGGCTGCGATTGAGCCACGGGGCTTATGGAAAAGTGAGGCCGAAAGTAGGGCTTCGGGTTTTGGGTTTGCTGCTCTTTGGATTTCTGGGGAAGACGCGACCAGCTGATCTGCAGCAAGCGAGTGTTCTCAGAACGCCTTGCTGTCAAAGCCTCAAAACGGACAGCCGGGAAAGCCTTAGTTCCTGAAATCTTCAATCATTCATGTCTTAGTAGCTGAGTTGGCCAACCTTTAATCATTTTCATTTTTTAACCAGGGTTTATATAAACCTACCATAATGTAAAGCTTAGCCCAGCCCCGAATCCCTCGCCGCTCTGTACAGAAAGCATACGTCTTGGTGTACTTGACTCTTATCCTGAGCTTGGCCAAACCAAAAGCCCTAAGACTCTGAACCATAATCAACTGTGGCATGCCCAAAGCCTTATACCCGGAACCCTAACACTTACAGAATTCTTTGTTAGGTATCGATGAGAGATGACTTTTCGATCTCCCTTACTGCTTAGTATAGAGCCCTGATATTATCATTGAATAAACTAAATAAGCTATATTTATATATATATATATATATATATATGCAATTTCGGGCCTGTTGCATCCCCCCTCCCCCCTCTTCAGCACAGGATCACCAGAAACTTGCATGTGCCGCGCGCCAGATCCAGGAGCCCAGAATCCAATACCTGGCTCCCTAGTTGTTCCTGTTTTGGTAACCATATAGAATACTGAATATCAAACTCGTTAAACCAAATCAAAAGGAACTAGCCCTGCTTAGAGGGGTTTGGGAGGTATTCGGGAGAAGATGGTTATAGAGCTTACTTAGTCCTGGCCCCGCAGCGTCCCTTTCTGTTTTTGGGAGGGTTAGGTTTAGGGTTTATAGGGTCTATAAGGCTTAGGGTTTCAGGGGGTGTTGGGGAGGTTTAGGTTGTAGGCTTGAGGAGTCAAGGATTGTGTGTTAGTACGGTTGAAACCCCCAAAAAATAAAGTTGAACCGATGCTTGGGCAAGCTGGCATTCTGGGTCGGAGACTTAGGATTGAGCGGGGGGCCTTCTTGATACCAGAAACCAGCGCCCTGCAGCCAAGTTTTACGAACCAACCTCAGTCAGACTCTGAACCGCTAGCAAAACACTCCCCAAAGCCCAGCGTCCAGATTTTGATTAAATACCGCGTTCTGCCGGCACTGGGCCTCCGTTGAAGAGTATCTTGGGGTGCCATGGTAGCGGTAATGCCCAAACTGGGTTCTTGTTAAAGAATTCAATGCAGATTACCATATCATAACAAAGAATTTAACAGAAACCATATTAATTACTTACTATAGATCCCTATTTACGGTGTCCTAAACCTCTTCCCTTAACAAGAACCCGGCAGAGGTTCAAGCCGTGAATACAGCCAGGAGCTCTGCGATCGCGGCTTGGAGCTGATCCGGGCTTCCTCCGTGCATGAAGAGGAGGAGGAGGCCTTGTCGGGGTTCTAGGGTTTGAGAATGTAGATTTACTGAATTCTGGGGCCAGGGAGTACTGGGCTACCGTTGCATATCGTGGGCAGGATATCGTCGTGGCTGCAGGCCTTCAGTACCTATGCAACTTCTTCCTCACCAGGGCCCGGGGAAGTGAATGGAACGGAACCAGGGGATGCTGTATGGGGTTTAGGGCTACATACTATGCCTTTAGGGTCCCTTCCTATAACAATAGCGCAACATACCCCCCCCATACACACACACAAACATATATATATATATATATATATATATATGTATATATCAGGATGCTGTGGGAACCAGGGCTTCTAAAACCCTACAATCCTAGGCGACAAAACCCAAACCTCAGACATCCCCAAACCCTAAGGCTATGTCAGGCTTAGGGTTTGGGGATGTTTGAGGTTCAGGCTTTATGGCTTACTTGGAGGGTCAGGGGACTTAGTAACTGGTTATCTTGGGGACTTATAAGTACCAGAACCCCAATTAGGGTCCTTTTTCGGGTACTTATAAGTCTACTTATGACCTACTTACTACGTCCCCCGACCCTCCAAGTAGGATACTAAACCCTAAACCCTAACCCTAAACCCTAAACCCCCCTCTTCAGACGACCTCAGGAGGATGAAACTCCCGAAAGTGGCGGCGAGGCAGAACTGGAAAGTGACTTCGGGGAGGAAGAGATGCTTCTGACTTTGTTGAAAATCTGCAACTCGGCTCTTGCATTGAGATTCATATATGAATAATATGGAATATGTATGTATATATATATATATATATATATATATATATATGGTTGTAGGTTTCATTTGCATGCCTCTATCTAGTCGCTGTATCGTTGCACGACTTTTGCGCAACTTTGATTGCCCTCGGCCTAAGAAAGACGCAGCTATGTGGGTACTTGCTTTCGTCCTTCTTCCTCAGTTTGGGGTTTCAGGGTGGTTTCATCTCATGAGTAGGAGTCTGAATTCGTACTCCCATGGCACATCATGGCACTGGTTTGCAAAATGCCCGGCCTGAGCATCATGACAACCGCCTAAAACCCGGTTAATTTTCCGTGAAGGTTAGTTTTCCGCGAAGACCGTCAACCCCCGACCCTCAAGCGTGAAAGCCGCGAAACCCTACAGGGGCAACACCTGGGCCCCTGCAGGGATTGTAACCCTGATCTCTGAGGCTTAATCAACAGAAGGCTAAGTCCTCAAAACACTTAAGATGCACATCCGGATCAGGTACCAGCATGAGCTTCTCTGCTGCCTCCGACAGGACGTCCGCTATCCGACAGGTGCGCCGAACGGCGAGGCATTTACTGCATCGCTGCGAAGTGAGTGAAGCGTAATTGCGAAAGGCAACGATAAGCAAAAACCGTAAACCCCTTAGTCAAGGACCCCTTTTAGGGAGCCGACAGTATACTCCTCGAGTATCCAAACCATCGAAATGGCCGCTCTTACATTGAATGCGTTTGCTGATAGTTCGGCAAGTGTCTCCGAAGCGACGCTGCCGGATATTTCAGCAGAGATGAAAACCCGGCATCAATTCGAATGCTATTTAAATGCCGGCCTGCCGTACGAGACGAAAGTGCGGCAGCTCTTCACCATGTGCGAAGCGGCTCGGATCCGGCTTCCTCCCTTCTTCCCCTTCCGATCCCCTGTACCCTACCCGGAACTGCCACAACTGTGCGTTTCAAAGTTTTGTCATGTCCGTAGAACCTATAGGAATTATGTTAGTCATTCACACCCGACCCTACAAGACGGTAGCTTGTGGCAGTGTAAGGGAGACCCTCCCCCAAATGCTGTGGCCTGTACAGACTCCCACATGCAGCACTTCGTCCTTGTGGTGTGTGTTATCCGGCTGAGAAAAGCGCGCTTACAAAGCAGGGACAAACGGTAGCTTGACAGGGTACTATCAGCGCATGTAGCATGACCTCAAGCTATGGCATTACTTCATGAATCGTGTAATTTCTAGACTCCCTCTACCCCGAGCTTGGAGCAATGTCCGGGTGATTGTAGTTGAATGTTCCAATAGTGGAGAGCTTGCAATGGTGACAATCCTGTGTCCTTGTGCTCCGGGTTTAGAGAAAGTTTATAGACACCAGGGAGCAACCAACAAGAGAGGCATGCTCAGCTCTACAAGCGAAGCTCTCGGCAACCCCAAATCTTGAACCTGAACCAGTCATATGCGGGCCTCAAGAATTACCTAAACTATCTTGGGGGGGTTTCTTATTTAAACTACAGTAATTATAATGGGCCCCCAAACCCCATTGTAAGTCGTAAGGCCTTGAGGCCCCTATAGTAGTCCTAACCTAAAGCCAGGGCATGAGCCCCAGATTCCACGACGGGAGAACTCATGGGAAGCCCCGAATGCAGAAGCAGCATGCCGCGTACAAAACACGCAGCGACCCTCCACAGCCTCAACCTGCAGCTCTCTGTGACGTTCCTCCCCTATGGTGTTGGAGCTCGTGAGGAGATGAAGTCGAAGGGATTCCTTGACATCGAGGTCTGGCATTGGGACGGCGTGCCCGGCCCGGGCAAGGAAGTTTACAGGGTTTAGAGGGATCAGATTCCGGGCTTCGGGGTTCGGGCTTGCACTCCCAAGGTTGTGTGCTGCCATATAGTCTGTTGAACTTCACTTCAGCCGAGGCTCCCTACTAGTTTCCACCAGCCGTTGTAGCAAGCATCAGCTGTTTGGCATGTTGGATTCATGTGGATAGTTCCCTAAATCAGGGTCCCGTTTAGTGTCCTCTTTGCCGTGTTATGGGGCCTATTTTAATCTAGAGTGCTGCCCACGTCCTTCTCTGGATGTCGGTCTTGGAGGCTCTACATGCCCTGAGCCCTGAGCGCAACACCCTAAACCAGAAGCCTCGAGCCCTAAACCCTAAACATCCCTAAATCCTACAGCCTTGAAGGCCACCAGGGTAAATCCTTCTAATAGCCATTGTAGTAACCCTTATGGAAACCCTATTCTAAATACTAAGGCCTGTATATTACCCTGAAAGTAGGAGCCTAAGTCCTGAACCATCCCGATTGTTTCGGATGGCGAGCTCCCAGGTGCCAACGGAGTTCTTGGGCGCTTTCAAGCTTGACCTGCAGAAGGCCGTAGAGGGCTTTGGGTCAGCCCGGAACTACAGGAGTCCTCAACCTAGTGTTTGGAGAGGTTCGAGCTAAATACGGAGATGATCGGCCCCTGAAATTACGTTCAGAAGTGTTTGGTAGAAGTGTTTACTGTCCTGGCGAAGCGCCTGAATGGTGCAGGCATAGCCGGAAGAGCATGTAATACTTTGAGGCTGCTAGGCAGCTTCTTGACCCTACGATAGCAACATCAAATCAACAAGCTCAAAATGTGCAAAAAGACTATCTGCGTCTCCTGTGCCAGACGCGGTTTGGACAGCAAGTGGAGCGAGCTCTTTGTCGAGATGTGGTGAAGACGAAGCGCCTGGGCTTGAGTAGAGGGCTGACAGGTCCGGAAGGCCCTCGAACCCTGAAGCATGAACACCAACATCCTGAACCCTGTAAGTTAGCTGGCTGTTGCAGTTCAGCCGGAGATTTCTTGTCCCTGTTATCCTTCACACGATCTTCCTCTTCACAGAGCTACAGCCTTTTGGTGTTACGGACATCACCAAGAAGATGCCCTACGACCCTCATCGGCTGTGGCTGTGGGTTTACATAGGGTGCACGGCTTGCTTCAAACTTTGAGGGTTTAAGGCATGCTAAGGCGCAGTATTTCGACCTTCCTGTTTCCTTGCTGTTTGTGACCGCCTTGCCTACGAGTCTGTTACATCTTTGTATCCATCAAAGGTAGAGAATTTCAGAACGTCGGCCGGATATATCGCTCGCACCCACATACGGTAATGAACACGCAGACGGCGCCATAAAGCAAAGGCCTGATGTTTTGTTCAGCTTTGGTCCCACGTGGGATGCAATCCGGAAGTCGGAGCCTTGAATGCTGCTACAGGCAGGTTGAGAATACCACAGACGAAGCCGACCGCGAGAAGGACGATACCGGAGACGCTGCTTGGAGCAGAGTAGCGCAGGAGCTGCTTGGTGTTTCGACTTGGAGCCTAAGTCTAAACAACATGCACTGCCTGTGATTGTGTGGGAGGGTTGGGCGGCGGAAGGCTTCGCCAATGAAATCCAAAAGGCGCATGCCCCTCTGACAAACTGAGGCGACGGTGGGCATCGACCCAGCTCTTGCGAAAGTCCACAACACCCTGATGCCCGCTGATGTTTGTTTTGTGGTCGTGGGGGGTTTTCTGCTTGACGATGCCTTATCAGGTTCAGGATTGGAGGTCCAGTGCAAGCAATAATATCTAGACTGCTGAGGCTGTTATCGCGTCATTGAATGTTTACTGGGCGGTTCAGGTCGCTTCAGTTGAGCCTTCTCCGGCAAGTGATTTTCAGCTACGCCCCTACCAGACTTGGCAGCTGCATTTTCCGGAAGATAGGGTGGGGCACTGCTCGCCTAATTGACTCAACTCCGGGTTTGTGTGCCACAATACCCGCAGTCTGAACTATGAACTATGGCTGTTAGGTTTACCCCGTCTGTTCAATGGCCACCATTGGGATAAGGGTGTAATGAGGATTGACGACTCTGGAGATAGCAGCCCTGTATGCACTCACCGTACAGGTACGAGGGTCGCCGAGAGAAGATTACGGGATCATCGCTCGCCACGATGGCCACGCCGACTATCAGCCGATGCCCTACAGATGTCAGGGCTCAGGGCACAGTGATGCTTTATTGCTAGTTTTGATACGACTATCGCCACGTCGATACCGTTTTCACCATCATTGGATCAATTCTGGTAGCCGTCTCGATGCCGCCAGCCCTGAAACTGAGCCATGGCAAGGACCAGTTATTGCTGCTGTTGTTTCTGTTGATTGGCGAACCTGGGTCGGTAATTATGGTTCAGAGTCGGGCCCCTTCATACTGCAGGCGCAGTTCGAACTTGTGGACGATAGATGCGGCAAGTGTCTGAAGAACGGAAACCTTAAATCCTAAATAGTCTTGCCTTGCTGCTGTGAGCACTCACACTTATCCGCACCCCGCTTCGCCAAGAGACAGAGCTTCTTCCACATTTCCGCGCAACATTTCCACATCCTGCTCCAATTTGAGCAGCGAAGTTTTGGTATAAGCCCAAGCCAGACCAGATGCGCGTGTTTTACTTATTTACTTTAGTCTTCTGGAACCGGAAGCCAGCTCGGCCTGTGAATCTTCGAGAGGTTCTTCACGGCACCTAATTATGAGTGAAAGATACGATCATGAGTAGTTCATGTGCCCTTTAAATCATACATGTTTTGGGCTTTTCTACCAAACAGAAGAGGATCCTTTTTATGAAAGAGCACCGCTGGAACGAGACGGTGCTTCCAATTTAATGGAACCATAACCCATCTCTGCAGGAAGTTTTTTTTGGTGCACTGAAGAGAGTATTGTTCTTCCTCGTCAAAAGAGCCCTGGAGTTCTGCAGCCTTCACTTCAAAGCCCCGTACTGCAGGGGTCTGAACAAGTGGTACTACCCTACCTCGTCACCCTTGTTGTTTGTAGCATAATATACTCCAAACTCGAACCGTTGAAGCTCCTACAGTACGGTTGAGCCTTGGCTTGTGCACCCCGAATGCTGGCAGAAGATACATGCCTCCCTCTCCCCCCTGAAGGGTTTAGGAAACTGTTTCCAGAAAGCCACAGCCCGCCAATCCACTTGCAGGCTTCGACTGCTACTTCCTGCCTGACTTTAAGCCGGTTCTGCTCCCGGCTTTCCCCGATAAGAGCAGGGTCTTGCGGGTGCAAGGGTGATCGGGGACATTCAGGATTTATGAGGGCGTCGGGGCCAAGGTTCAGAGACTTTTTCCCAAGGTGGGTTCGGGCTGAGCTTTCGGATCGAAACTGGAAGGAACATGCTGAGGGTGATTCCGCAGCCGGGGAACTGGTTGTTGAGGAGTTCGAGTCATGGTTTCGCAATCTGCCTCTGGGGTTTGGTCTTCAACATATTTCAGCATCCTAGCCGCGAGTAAGCGCGAGAGTGAGATCAGGGTGAACTGGGGGGGGGTGATTGTAAGCATTGTAAGCTCGTTGAGACTTTGCTCTTTTACCATACGGCCGTGGCCACCAAGGAGTTCAGCAATAGCTTTCCGGACCAAGACCAAGAGGACATTGCGAGTGAGCAGCTGTTCGCCGGGACCCGAGTCTTGCCTGCTGCCCATGCTTTTGTTATTTCATGCCCTGAGAATGCAAACTAGTAGATTAAGGCTACCACCTCGCCCAGAAGTCACAACTGTTGAGTGCGGACAAGTCTTCAAGATGATGCCGGAAGCGCCATGGACGCCCATTTTCTGAGGTTTGCAAACCACTGATGTCAGGTAGCGAAAGCTTGATTGTTTACCGTATCAAAAAAACTTGGACCATCTTGGTCCGTTCTGCATCACAGAAGGAAGTGCAAGCTTGATCTGTTTAGGATAGCTGTGCACTACCTCGAGTTGGCTACAACCTCGGTACTGATTAAATCAATAGTGCAGCCACACCTGAGCAGACATGGTTTGCGTTTTTGGGCCAAGGCTCCGGCGTACAAGCGTCTTGAGCTCGGTCACGGGAAGTACAAGTCAATCCCTTGAGTTCTGACCACCCGGACGCCCTGAAACCCTCCACCGGACATGTTATCCGAGTGTCACAGCAGACAGCTGGGAGCAACCCTAAATAGTAGGATACTTATTATAAGGGCCCCAAAATAAGGTACCCCTAATTTTCGGAAACCCCCAGCTTGCATCTGACGTCTTGAACCCCGAAGCCTGGAGACCAAAGCCTCGAGCATCAAGGCGAGCTAGAAGCTGCAAGAGCCTGCACCAAGCCCCAAACACCAAACTCGATGAAACCGCAAAAGGGGCCAAGCTAGTGAAGTAGTCGAGGTACCCATACATTCTAGATTGAGCCCCACGTGCGTAGGAGCGATTCTGAACCATCGACAAAGGGGTAACTCAACAGTAGCAACGAAAAGGGGGTACCGTCCGGCTGAGGGACGATGTAGAGGTGTGAGGCTTTCATGCTAGCTCTTCTCATTCACAGTTCGACGATTGTGGACAATGCAGTTCAAGTACGGTTCAGGATGTCGGATTCGGCAGTTTGTTTGCTTTGGAAGGCCTTCCAAACTATACTTATGCATGTGATTGCAGAGTCCTGGTGTCAGAAGCTTTTGAGTGAACAACTTTTCGGGCTTAGGCTGGAAAGAAGTCTTTTCCGAGCTGCACGAGGCCAGGGAAACGAGTTCACGAAGCCTCTGCGTCTTCACAGCCTCGCTCATCTGCCTATTCTCTGTCTAGTAAAACTTTGTAGGAAAAGCAGTCCGAACAGTGCATTCAATGACTGGAGTGCGTAGGCTTGTTGATGACGCAGAAGCCGTCTGACGAGGCCTATCAAATTTGGTTCCCAGACTCGCCTCCTAAGCGTCGGTGGACCTCAAGCTTCACGAACACGTGCCTGGCTCAGCAGACTTGACCAAATGGGCGAAATTTGTAGCTTACATTGCGGAGGAAGTTTCGGGGCATTTCAGAATTGTGGCAGAGGCACCGTGTACGTCATGTTGCTCAACTTAGGAGACCTGAAGTAAAACAGATTCGGCTATCCGGGTTTTCCTACGAACCTTAGAACCGACCTCCATGAGGACCTCAACCAAGCTCAAAATGCCGACAGCGCGACGTCCGTCGTGGAGACTTTGAAATCCACCTGCCATATCTTCAGTGCAATAACATCCCTTCAGCCATCGCTCAGGGAGGGCAAAGTGCTGCCATTGCCTCGACTGATCACTCCCTTAGCGCTGCCCGCCGACTTGGTGCAGGGCTCGGACGTTTAGGGTGGAGGGTTTAGTAGCTTGCAGGGTGTTTTCATGGGTTTCCTCTTGGGTTTTAGGGTTGTGGGGAGAGAGCTTGAAAACAGGACATGTACCGCACCGTGTCACCATGGTTGCAACTCCGACCGATCGAAGGCCCAGACACGCTGCCAAGTGGTGTAAGGTTTGAGGCGAAGGCGTAGACCGGCTCCGCAAGTCGATGATATCGTCTCACTCAGTGCCCAGCCTGTGCTCTACGGCTCATTCTGTACGGTTCGGTTCCTGTGAGAAGTTGTCTTGCTTCATCGGGGCACTATCCTTGGCTCTTTGCAGCAGCACCCCGGCCTTGCGAGAGTTCGAATCCCAAATCCTTAACAGTCAAACAGAATGGCAGAAACCCCCTACCCGGACCCACTATGAAAAGCACCAAGCCTTAGCTATGGTCTGACTGCCAAGGGCTCGCCACTCGCCATCATGCACTGGATCAAGCCCGATGCTCAGACCTTTTTGGTATGTGCCTGTCGCTATTTGCTTTCAAATTTTCCTTCGTTGTTCAGAAGTCGAGGGATCGCTACTGGGTCTGTTTCAAACAATTGGTTCTGGATCTTTTGCAGTTGTGGAAGCCTCACGTGTTTGCAGAAAAGAGTGCCGCCCCAGGTGCATTGAGTATAATGCACCTGCACGGCAGAGGCGGGTGGGTGGTCGGTCGTTTGAAATGCGACATTTATAATTACCAACACTATTTTCGGGGTTCCTTAGTGTAATTACAGTAGAATGGCCTCAAGACTCTATTCAAATGATTAAGGCCGTGCATTCAGTTCTTGACCGCCATCAAGTCTAGCTGGAGCTGATGCACTGCCGTAGGTGCAGGGTCTGCAAACCTTAGACTCAAGCGAATTAGCTCATACTTTCAGACCTGGCAAACTCTGCAGGTGTGTAGGTCAGACGATTGCGTTTCCAACCGAAGTGTTTGTGAGAAGCAGGGCCTGCGGTCAGATCAACTTGTGGCAGACTCCCAGCGATGCCGGGATCTCGGATGTATCAGGTTCGAGTGTCAAGTGTAGCACCGCTGGATACGGTTACAGAAGCAGCCGTGCACGTGTCAAGTCCTCGTGAGACTTAAACAGAGCCAGTGCAGCTAAGATCTTGGCCCTCCGTCGCGGCTCCGTGCAGGAGAGATGTGTTTAGGGATTTTGTCAGGGATTCAGCACCTCAGAATGGTGCATTCCCATGCTCTCCAAGCTATAATTATTCTTTTGGTAAATAGGTCTTATGTTTACGGTCCGACTGAGCAGAAACAGACAAATTAACTACAAGGAGTAAAGCACTAAACATACTAGAACCAGACAGGTAGAATGCGGTAGAACTGAAAAGGTCTGAAGGAAGCTTTGATGTTGAACCGCCCCCCCTGTTTCAGCGCAGCAGGAGCCGCAGCAACGAGTCAGGGTTCGCCCCGGCTCCCTATACGCTACGACAGTTCCATGGTTTAGGATGGCTAGCACGCCTAAACTCGTGTAGAACAGTGGTCCGAATAAGCCATGAGCCCCTACAACCCCGAAAACCCCAATGTGCCTTCTAAATCCCCAAAGCTCACGAATCCCACCTCCCAACCCTCGAAACAAAGAACTTGAACCCTGAGCCGTCACCCCAAAGACCACATCTACGAATCCACGCCTGCCAGATTTCGACCAGGACCATGCGGTGCTCCTTTGCTGTGCGCTCCAGGGCCTAAAGAAAGATGCCTGGGTGTGCGTAGGCGCGGCCGATTTTCTGACGGAAATGGGGTTTCATGACGTATACTAAGGGTCACAAACCTACTATTGCGGGTTCTGCAGTAGGCCCCCGACTGCTAACCCCAAAAGAAAGACTATGGTTTATGATATGTGTATATGTATATAGTGTAAACACATGCGGTATTGTGTCCCTTATCTGCTAAGCCTGCGACTGAGTTCCTTAACATTATTGCTTGCCACTTGTTCTCTACGGGCTCAAGCACGTCTACACACCCAAAGCTCAACACCCCTCAACCGGGAAACTGGAAAGAGGCGGTCGGAATATTTGCCACATGCTGTTCCTTTTGTTCCCCCATTTTGTAGCTGTACTACAGTATTGAACAAACTCCCGTTCTAATATGTTTAAGGCTTTTCGCCAACAAGTCAGAAGCACAGGCAGCGTGGAAGGCGGCAATGAGCACACCTGGGTTATGACCCGTGAGGCGCTGCCTTCTGTCTATACCTGTAGCCGAAAAGACCTACTTCTTTTAGGGCTACTTATTATGCTTTCTTCATAAATTTCCTTAAAAAGGTAGGTCTCTTCGACTACAGGTAGGGTTTGTGGGTTGGGTCTAGGGTTTGGGGGTTTCAGGGTTCAATGTCCAGGGGCCTTACTCATTCCTCTCTCAAGCTGCCAATGCGCCTCTTGAGCCTTCGCTGTCCTGACTCAAGTGCTTAGCTTTGGGTGGTTTTAGTTTCCATCATTAATTGTTTTGAGGGTTTCGAGCTTACCCCAACCTCCGCCCCTCCCCTACTTATCTTCCATCGCTTTCGAAACACCTGTAAAGTCATCAGATGATGTTGTTTGCAAGATCTTAAAGGGTAGTTGAGGGGTCCTGGCGCAACACTTCGCCTTGAGCTTGGGAATTTGGGTTTTCTGGGTTTAGCGTGTAGGGCTTGAAGGTTCCCGGGTTGGCAGCGTGTATATAGTTATATATATATATATATAATGTGTGTAGAAGTCTATATACATATATATATATATATATATATATATATGTATATATCTCTGTGTGTGTGTGGTGTGTGTGTGTGTAATTATACGTATGCATGCATGTATGAATGTATGGATGTATGTACGTATGTATGTATTTATGATGCATGCATGCATGTGTTTTGTATGTATGGATGTATGCATGTATGCATGTATGCATGCATGCATGCATGCATGTATGCATGTATGCATGCATGTATGCATGTATGCATGTATGCATGTATGCATGTATGCATGCATGCATGTATGTATGTATGTATGTATGTATGTATGTATGTATGTATGTACGCATGTGTTTGCTTCTTGTATTACATTATGTTCTATTCTGTTAATAGAAGATGGCATGTTTCAAGTCCAGTGCACTGCCTTTGCTTCTGCTGGAGGGTTATTGCTCCAAAGGGAACTGCTTGCGACGGCGAGGAACCCTATACGCCCTACGCCTTCAAACTATACAACCCGATCTGCATAGTCAAAGCAGTATTTAAAAGATCAGTGCTATTTAGCGCAGGAGCTTAGATCTTCCGGGATTCGAAAGCATGCCCCCGGCTCAGGGCTACGGCACCATCACCTTCTGGGAAGTCACCACTGGGGCGAAGTACCACCTCGGGCAGCGATGGTCCGCGCCTCAGATAGAGCTCAGGGTTTTAGGGGTTTGGGCGCCGGACTTCGGGTTCTGGAGTCAGGGTTTCGAGTCCAGGGTTTGGGAATGGGGATTGGGTAGGGTGTAGGGCTTGCTTCCAGCGCCAGGTTCCCAAACCTTCCGTGGATGTTGGTTTGCAGGGTGTGTCTGAAGTCGAACCAGGAGTGTGGTCTATGCGCAACCATGCAGATCAATATCCAAGAAGAAGCAGAAACCACCAGTCCTCAAGACATCATCCGAGTGGTTGCCCCATGACCGAAGAATTGAATATAGCCTTAGAGGGGAACATACTTACGGATGAAGAGCCGTGCCATATGTGCAGTCTAAGAGAGGCAGCAAAGGCCTTTGGTTTGGACATCTGCGAAACCCATCAACTCTGCAACGGCAAGCACGAAAGACCAGACACGCCCCTAAGCGTGCAAGCCCTGGCCTACCCACTCTCCACAGGTTGGGAAAGAGTGGCGACCAGTGCATCCCACAGGCAGTGGACACCAGTGCATCGTTTCTTCTAGTGTCGATGTGTGAAAACTAGACATAAGCACAGTTATGACTCTAGCATCATGTTATAGTACATGTGTGTATATATATATATATAGACATTATATTGAGTTCAACCCACAACAGACAAGCAGCTTGGCTGTTGCACAGGTCATTCCTAAATCCTTCCTCCCTTTCTTCCTTCTTGCCTGCATTGGCAATTTCCACCTCGAGGTGACCCTAAACCCTAAACTGTGCCATCAGCCCTGGAGCTTCAAAAAGAGCCTTCGCTCAAAGGGGAAAAGGAGGGAACCTTAATGGGGACCCCTACCCTATATTTAATGGGGCTAGATAATGGGTATATAATGGCTATACTAAGGGCATATACCTAGGGGTCCTTATTAAGGGTCCCTCCTTTTACCCTTGGATTCCTTCAAAATTGAAACCTCCAACCGGCAGAAACCGTTGACCCATGGGAGGTGGACAAGCGCTTCAAGGATCGGCAGGCCATGGGATCCCATGGCGTCTCACGCTAGGGCTTATGGGCAATGAGCTCGGAGCCTTCAGGGTTTACTTAAAGGAATTTCGGAGGTTTGGACAGGTATGTCCGGGGGTGTATTTCAATCAGGTAAAGGTCTAGGCCCGTGATTGCGGTGTCGTTCAACTGGGGTTTAGGCTTTGTATGGGTTCAGAATATAACTGTTATTTTAGCCTATGCTTCCAGGGACCTCTTTACTGGGTCCTTGAGGGGTCTAGCGACACAACTATAAGGTCCCTGGAGGCATTGGGTTCTTCCCTCAACTGTTTCAACCCTTCTCGTCAAACGGCTCAGAGCCGTCCAAACCGATGCAACAAAGCCCTCGAGGCAATGGCCGACTGGAAAGCGGATGCTTCCTTGCAGGACGCATTAGGGCCTCACAGTTTTTGGGGGCCTCGCGTGGGAAAGTATACAATGTTTAGGGCTTCAGGAAAGTTACGAGATGACGAGGGTTTTCACGCTCAGGTTCGGGGCCTGGAGATTTCGATGTGTTCGGGTTGTTCGGGTCTATAGAACCTTGGCTTCAAAGGTTTCAGGGCTTGTTGGACAGGACGTCATGAAGCTCCAAGTGGTATGGTTTGGGCTTTCACGAGGTCTTTGCCGGCTCTGAGATTGAACTTTGAGCCGTCAAGCCTTACACAGCTTGAAGGTTGCAGATTGGTACACTGCGAATTTCTGGAGTTGGAAGTTTGAGGCAGTGGGGCTTTGGACTTGCAGTATAGGGTTTCGAGCTGTTGGTTTCGATCGTTGGAGCTTGGAGGTTGTTTCGTCCTTTAGGGTTTTAGGGACTTATGGTGGCTGGTATATTGGTGAATGGTGGTGTTTGCTGTTGTTGAAGCTTCGGCAGGGCTTCTTGTTCTGGATACATTTGAATGAGTTTAGTTTGGTGTCAAAGTACATACCGTAGTCCCTAAACAGAAAGCCCTACATGACACCAAACCGTACGAAGTATAAACCCTACGCCCTGTTTGGGATCACCTTTCACATTAACCGCTCGATGCAGAGCCAAGACGCCCTGTCCTGCCCCAGGAGCGCGCCAACTTTAGCAGGCGCAGGGTTTACGCTCCTGTTGTGAATTCCTTCTGCAAGCCCCTCAGCCCTAGACCTTAGACGACCTACCCTTTGGGGGTCGTGGGCCTATAACCCCAGAATAGTAGGATTCATATAAGGAACCCTAATAAAGGCCCAAGGTTTCTTAATCACGTTCCTACATTATATGAGCCCTTGTCTAAGATCGGCCTTCGGGGAGGGTTTTGGGTTGGGATTTCCAGTTCAGATGCCCCAGTGACACCAGATACCCGGCACATGTCCTTCCTGTTTCATTGAGTGACGAGTTTCCCGAGGCGGCAGCGGTTTAGGGTTTAGGTTTGGGGCAAGTTAGGCCGTTTATGACGTTTTGGGGTCTGTATGTCAAGAGAACACACCTTCGTTTGCAGGGCAAAGTATGTTTGCCTGAAGGAAGGGTGCTTCTTGTTCCTGTGCTTCCCGAGGCTGCCCTCATGAGCCCTATAGGGCCTGGGGGGCCTGGAAGCTTCCCTTCTTCCCAGGTCATGTCTCAATAGAGGGGTTGGAATAATTACCCACATTTTTCGGGCTTAGGGCCTAGTAGCAAAAAGAGGGTTCCGGAATAGAAGTATACTATGATAGGCCCCAGAGCCCGATGCCACCTCCTCAAAGCCCCTGTATAGTCTTTCCATGGTTTCAAGCCAATCTGCCAAAGAGACACCCCAAGCCTCGCAAGACTGACTGCGTGGAGCAGGTTGTCAGATCTGAGATTGCGGTTTCGTGTTGTGGGTGCTAAACCCTAAACCCACCCAAAAAAACGTTTAGGAAGTTTGGTAGATATGGCTGATGGGGTTTAGGTGGGCCTCTGCATTTAAACCGAAAGTTTGGTTTAGGGTTTACCAGCTTGGGGGTTTGTGCTTCGGATCAGCCATACACTGTGCAGTGCCTGCCTGCCGGAGGCAGCAGCATTTGCAGGGCATGGACCAACTTACGAGGCAGCAGATTCTGGCTACGTTTTGGCCTTTGGGGTGTACGGTCTATAGGGCCAGGGGCTTCGGCATTGTTGGGCTCAGGGTTTGGAGTGGTTGGGGCTTAGGGTGAAGGTTTAGGCAGGGTTGAGGGTGAGTGTGATGCATGTTGCTTGATTCAGGGTGCCCCTGCTATGGGGAAAAGGGGGGCTAGCGCAAAGGATAGAGGCTCTAAGGTCATCCATTCTGCGAATCATGCTCTGCTCAAAACCATCCCTACCCTCATCGGAGGATGTAGTCCTAAACTAGAAGCCCCCGCAGAAGCTGCAGCTGAGTGCTACAGCTTGACACCATGCCCTACATGTACATCCCTAGCTCCCTCCGAGCATGGAGTTGCACAGCTGACTCCATGCGACTCAATACAAACCAAATAAGCCTTCCCCCCTGAACCCGTCGATGTATCCAACACCCTAAAAGCTTAAACCCGAAGCCTGAATACTCCGGTGATTGCGTGGCTGGTCTGAGTTCGAGTTTCGAAAGCACAAATCCTCAAGCCGACAATCAAGCCCGACCTGGCCATCCTACTGCACATACCAGCTTAAGAGCTCGGCCCTAGAATTAGAGCATTGGATAAACTTCTACCTTCCGGGCTTTAGGGTTGCAGGTACATCCTAATCCCCTAAACGCTAAACTCCAGACATCCCCAAACCCTAGGCTTCATAAACCCAGACCCCTTTTTGAAGCCCAATGAGCCCTTATCAACCCTAGAGGCCCTATGACTACACCCTTACCCTATAAGCCCTGAACCCTGGAAGCCCTACACTGTACGCCCTAGAAGCACTACTGGCCCCAGAGGCCGTAAACGCAGGACCCAAATCTAAAGTGAGCCTTATAAACCCTGTATACTTATAAACCTTTCATACAAGCCCTGTAAGCCCCACACATCTTTTGCACCCCAAAAAACTCGCCCTAAACCATGCCTAAACCCTAAAACCCCAAACCCTGACGATGGTAGTGGAGATACTGTGGACTATGTGGAGCCTATTTCCTGCTGTGTGCGAGTCTGAGCGTCGAAAACCCTAAACTTCCCAAAGCCACCCCATAAACTCGCCCTATAAACCCTAAAGCCCTAAGCTCTAAACCCTAAACCCTAAATTCTCGGATTCTGCGAAGACGAAAAAGGGCCGTTTAAAAAAAACCTCCCAAAGCCACTGCGAGGCTTCCTGTCGCACCATGGCCCGAGCTGTGCAAGAAGGAGATGTGCCTCGATTTGAGGTTTACTTAGGGGTACTTAGAAATATTGTTTTAATTTTTTGGTCATTATAATCCCTGAGAAACAGCTAAACCTTTTATTTTTGCTAGGGTTGTAAGTTCAGTATAGTTTAGGGGTTAGGGTGTTTCAGGGCTTTTAGGGTTTTGGGGGGTTTAGGGCTTAGGAGGTTTAGGGGTTTAGGGTTTATGGGGTTTCTGGAGTTACAGGTAGGCGTATAGTACACAGTCTAAGATTTGTAAGGCATATAGAGGGCTTAGGTTAGGGCTTAAGGATGACATGTGCCTCGATTTAAGGCTTGATGCCATGAGATGGATTAGACTGTTTAGATAAGTAGATTGGATAGATTGGACTACATAGATGAGATAGGCTTGACATATTAGATGAGACTAGGTGAGACAGATTACATAGGTCAGATTGATCAAGTCGATAGCTAGCAGGCTAGCTCACTAGCTAGGTGTATGTAGGCAGGTAGACAGGTCGATACAAACATAGGCATGCTGCAGAGGACGTACAGAAAGCAGCCAGACATGGGCTTCCAGCTTCAGGGTAGGGCTTCGACAAATCAATTTAAAAGGTACATGATTTTGGACGATCCCCACCAACATCGTGATGCATGCGAACTCGGACACGTGCAATACGTGCAGAACACGATGTCGGTTCCTTTAGGCGCCTAGCAGGCCGCTGAAGTTTGCATCCATCGCTTGAAATACGTTCCACGAGCCTCCTGCATATATGTCTGACTGCGGCCAGCCCATGTCCACGGAGAGCTTTGTCCATCGCGGACAGGATGGGCGGATCCTGGATGTGGACGAGTTTCAGGTGGCCAAGGCCCTCCTGGCCGGAGAGGTCGAGCTTCTGAGCCAGGAAGTCGATTCCAAGCACCTCTTCGACCTGTGCCTCCAGTTCGGCCAGCAGAGCACCGCTGCAGCGATGATTTCGTGCGGAGTGCCAGGCTGCGTTTTCAAGGGTCCCTGCAGCTTTCAACTTCCGGCGTTTACGCCTGCTGAACATCAAGCAGAATACTGGAGCTTTCGTTGCGGTGCAGCGGCTGGTCTACTTGCGAAAGCTGCAGCTGGGGCTTTGTGGCTTTCCGGAGGCCGAAGGATTCTGGATGGAGGATTGGGATGCAAGCCTCCAAAATGCCAAGAGCGCAGCGGAAAGCGCTACCACAATGCCCGTCGTTCGCGTTTTGTTGAGGGCCTTTGGCTCTAAAGCGGCCTCCAAAGCAATCGCCACGGAGGAAGCCATGGCCTACTTGCTCGATGTTGCCATCCTCATCGGGGATGCCGAGCTCGCCAGATCCTGTGCCAAACACTGCACCGAATTCCCACTGAGGCGCTGGAGGTTCCAGGAGTTTGTTAGGTTGAGCGTTCAAATCGGTCGGGTTCCTCGAGTAGAGATCCTGGAGAAGACATCCTGATTGCAGCTTTGGCCGCCGGCCTGGCGCTCGACCCACAGTTTCTGGAACGATTCCGTTTCGCTTGCGGAAGCTGTGGTGCTTTCCGGAGATGGGGAGCTCTGGCACCGAGTCGAAGGCCTTCGACTGCAGCTCGGGCCGGGGCCAACGCATGAACTAAGAAGACAACGAGATGGCCTGTTTTCTCCTCGAGCGCTCCGGGACCCAAGTCAGGCTGAGCTCGGAGCGGATGCATCGGGCCAAGAGGGCGGGTCTTGCATTGAGCTCGTTTCAGGCGCCGGTTTTCGTTGACTGCCAGTTATGTGGCATTGAGCGCAGCGTTTTCACGTTGTCACTGCTGGACTTGCTGGACTTGGCGATCCTCTTTGGGCAAAACCAGTGTGGCCGAAGCTTTGGGGCGATGGACATCGAGGCGACAGAGCTTACGCTGCAAGCGAGCCTTGAAGCGATGCCCTTCACGTGGGAGTTCGACGACGAGTGCAGACTCTGTGGCTCTACCTCCTGCGAACTTAAAGGTGACAGTCCCTTGGCCAAGAGCTTCGCATCGCTCCCGGAGCGCAAGGCCGCAGCAGCCGAGGCGCTTCGCACAGCCTTGTGGGCATCCCTCCGAAAGACCGCAAGCTCTGCAGGCCTCGGGCTCTTTCAGCTTCTCCGTTCCTGGGGCCATTGCCATGGGAAGTCGGTGCCTGCGGATGTGGTGGAGTCGGTGTTGGCTTTCGCTGCAAATCGACCGTCACTTCTGCAGGCCCTCGAGGGGCGCGAAGGGGGAGTTGCCACCGGGCCAACTGCTGAACAACAGATAGACGCTTGCAGGTGCCACTGTCTCTGGCAGTCAGTACTAAAGCCCGTGCACTGCCTGACCGCAGGTACGAAAAGGAAAGCATGGAGACCAGACCACATACCTGCACGATCCATCTGTCGAGCTTGCAGATCACAGCACTCACAATTGAACACTTGAGTCACTTGAGTTCGCCGAGCTAGAGGTCATTCTTGGGGAAGCAGTTCAAAGTGCTGAAACTCCTCTGAGATCCTCTACTTAGCACTGTATATTGGGGCCCGGATGTTTTCTCGGCACTCCAGTAAGCTTAGTGCCCATGCTGGCTCTGCAAGTGAATCCTACCCGTGCATCCAAAGACCCGACGATGAAAGCTTTACAACAGATTTCTTCAACCCGGTGCGTCCTGAGATCACGGCCGGAGAACTTAATGAGCTGGTCCTTCTAACTTGACAGCTGAAGACCCCCCAAGTTACAACCGCCCTTAGTCCTAAACCCCAAACCCTAAGCAACAAAAACCCTGTTCCTAAACCCTATATACGGTAGCAATGGACCTCAGAAGCCGTGCCTGCGTCAGTGTGCGAGCCGGATCCCGATATACAGATATATATATATATATATATATATATAAACCTGTGGCCCCAACCCAGACTGAGCCGAGGCTCGCCGCTATCCCTTACCTCAGCATCGAGGCTGGGTCTTGCGAAATTCCTGAAGTTGAAGCGCTCTAGGCTTAGGCCAGGGTTTAAGGTTAGGGTGTTTCAGGTCTGTAGGATGTTACAAGGGTTCAGGGCCTAGGGCCAGGGTTTGTTAAGGTCCTCGATGGTTTTGCAAGATGTCCCAGGGGCTTGATAATATTATGCAGATTTGTTTGGCTTGTTCGGCCGGTTCGCAGGATCACTTCACCACAGGTTGTAGACGCTCTATGTTTGTGCAGGGGCTGTAATGTTGAGGATACGTGGTGGCCTCCGTGTTTTAAAGGCTCAACCTGTGAAACCCTTTGCTGCTTTATTTTTGCTCTTCCGGAAAAAAACATTTACCACGCATAAAAACGTTTCCCAAACGAAAGAGCGGAAAGCAGCGGGGAGAGAGCGGAAAGCAGAGTTTGAAACATGTGGAAGTGTGTGCTGACAGGTTCATTGAAAGAGCGATTCTGATAACAAGCCACATTCTCCAGAGAGCGTTTTCGCCTGGGCCTTTCCCAAGTCTTGGCTTGATATAACAACAGAGTTGTATCGATGCAAAGCCGAGTTTTGAAATAATCAAATGCGACCTACATGCTTCCCGTCACACAAGAATAAGTAGAAATAGTTGTAACCCAGATACAAGTTTCCTTGAAAGCCCACACCAACAGCCAGGACGAATCGAGGTGTTGAGTTGCATAGAGCTCAACATATAAGCTAGATACAGCCTGAGTGTGCATCGATCAAGATTGAATGGGTATCGATCGTGGTTATAAACCTATATGATATATAGCTACAACAGTGTGATTCGACATGTCATGATGGCGACATCGATCTGCTCATGGAGGCACGCTCTCCTTGCTCGCTGTTGCTTTGATTGCAAGCGGTTGCACGGTGAAGTTGGTGAGTGCATGGGCCTGCATTCACATTGATGTGACCCGATCTGCCTAGCTGCTTTTGGTTCTGGTGGGCATAGCTAGGTTTCCTGCTTTCGCTTGCCATGCCTTTTTCGACCGTGGTTGGTTTGCTGGCGAATGTTTCGGTGCAAAGCATTTCGCTTTGCCAGCTCGAAGGACAAGTGTTGATTTTAGACAATGGGTTAAATTCAGGCTTGTAAATTATAGACCTCTCGAGTGTGCAGGACTGATGGAGATGGACAACCGCTTCTGGGTGGCATGCTGCCGGGCCATGTACAGCTTGGAGGACGATGCATGATCGAGGGTTTTCATTTGTCAAGACACATATCTTCAATGGTTTGGAGGACCCACCGACATCAGGGGACCAGATTGTGGAGAACGTCGTTGACAACATTCGTCATAAAGGTATCTGCTTGCACTTCCGGCTTCTCTTCGGGGAGATGTGCACCTATCCGAAAACAGCAAGGGGATCCTATATAGTCACGAGGTACCCTTAGAAGCCCAAACCCGAATTCCTTTAGGTCGTTTTCACTCTGCATTAAGAACCCCAAGCCCGAAACCTTAGAAGATATCATAAACCCTGCAAGCCCGGACATTCTGGGTTTTGCTTCCCCGCACGCAACATCCCAGGCAGCCGCGGGATTTGAGATCCTCACGGCAGCAGATGACTTCCATGGTCGTGCGGCCAGCTGGGTACGGCTCGGAGCTGTTGCAATGCACAAGTAGCATGGACCAATGCGCTGCCGAGCTGGTTAGCTAAATTTTGGGGAAAATCGATCATGCATTGCAATCGCTTCTAGCAGCTGCACACTTCTTCAACAAAATACGGAATATTCAACAGTCGCCCTCGCAGGTGATTTTACTTTGGTGGTTCACCACGATTTTCCAGCACTCTTTGAAAGGCCGGGGCCACCTAGAGCAAGCACTAACCCAAGAATCCACGCACGACAGGCCGGCTCCTCCTGATCCTCATCTTCCAGTTCCAGCTGGTATTCAGCCTCGGCAAACAGAAGGCAGGAGAACGGCCCCAGAAAACTTGTACGATCTAGCTTGACAATTGTCTATGTCTGCAGGATCCTTTTCTTTGTGAGCTTTCAGCTCCGCAAGGCCTATAGCTGTGTGCTGACTTGCATTCACTGCTGTACGACTGCTGAGAGTGCATCTACATGTCTGACTTCAGCTGCATAACTTGTGTGGCTTCCGCTGTATATGACTATAGTGGGTGTGTGCAACTACATGCATGGTTGTCTGACCGCATACACTTCCTGATACATTGTTCAACATGCAGGCTCGATTCTTGAGGTTGCCTGTTTGTGCCGAGCCACATTTTGTGGCCAAATGGGGGAGGCATGGCCGGAGAAGCACAAGCTTGCCAAGGCTTGGGATGGGTGTGAGATTGCAAGGGATCGAATGAGGACCCAGGGAAGGCTTCTGGATTGGCCAAGTGCATCAAGCACAGGGGTCGCTACGAAGGTCACCCTGAAGCTCAACAGATTCGTTGTTCGCCCGACAATGCAGAGCTGGGTCGACGTTGCCGATACCCCGAAATCTCCTCCTATTGCTTGGCTCAGACAAGAGGCCCTGCAGACAAATACCCCGAATTCTGTGAATGCTTATATAGACCCCAACTAGGAATTATATCCCTCTACATATATTTGCCCAAAACATCCCCAGGTGAAGGAGGTCCACCGATTGCTCGTACCCTCGCCAGACACCGTCAAGATTTACGTCGACGAATGGGGTTTGAAGAGGTTGATGAGCTATTGTCTTCGGAGATACCGCACTGGAGCTGTGAACTTCCGGGACTGTGCACGGGTTCTATTGTATATATTGCTCGATAGATCAGTCTAGCTAGGTATCTGCGAACTCCGTAATGTGTGCTTAGATCTCCGTTAAAGGGTTGTTGTTGTGATTGGGTTCATGGGCTATGCACTGCATGCAGGATCCAGCTCTGCAGCCCATCATGAGTATCATGATTGCTCGGTGGGGCGGCGATGATCCTGCTGATCATGATGACAACGATGGCGAAGGCGATCCAAGCGGCGGCGAGGACGACGCTGAGGAGGACGGCGATGCTCCAATGGCTGCTGATGATGGGGAGGAGGCTCCTGCATTGGATGTTGGGGACCCCTACGTTCTAGCCGATGGGCTCGAGTTCCAACCATATTCTGATGATGAGTGCAATCTTCCTGCCGAGCCTTATGAGATCCCTGTGCTTGGGGACGGTGTGCCTACTCCCGAGCCTTCTGAGATCCCTGTGCTTGGGGACATGGTGCCTACTCCCGAGCCTTGCGAGATGCCTGTGCTTGGGGACGATGTGCCTACTCCAAACAATCAGGAGTCTGCTGAGATGCCGGGGGTTGTGCCTACTCCGGACCATCAAGAGCCTGAGATACCGGTGCTTGGGCAGCAAATGCCTACTTGTGAGATGCCGGGGGGCCATGGTGTGCCTACTCGAACCAATCAGGAGCCTGCTGAGATGCCTGTGCTTGGGGGGCCTACTCCAGACAATCCGGAGCATGCCGTGATGCCGATGCTTGGGGCTAAGGTCTCCGGAGGCCATGACCTGGGAATGGTGGCGACTCCTTGTGTCAATGGGAAACCTCCACCCATGATTGAGAGGAGGTCGCATCTCACGGACTCAGCTGGGATGTCGTCAGAGTCTACATCAGATCCACCCAGAAGATCAACCCAAGCCAAATTGGCACGCCTCGCCGAGCTTAAGAATCTTTTCTGAAATTAGTTAGATTGAATATATTTGTCGTGTTCCCATACCCCGTTGCCTCTAAGATTCGGTAGATTCCAGGCAGCCGCAGCCGGCTGCACGCAGATAGGTTGCAATCCTGATCAGGCAAAAGTTTGCCGAGAGGCGAGCCCTGAAAGCCAGTGCCATGTGTGACCTAGTCGCATTAGCTTGTCGTGTGTTGTCGTCTGGAATCCCTGAGGCATACGCACCAAATAGCCTTGCATAACGACTTCCTATAGGAACCCTTTTTATGCAATGGCCCTGTAAAAGCTTTAAGTAGCCCAGGCGACCCGAGCGCTTTGGACACCCAGCCCCACGACATCTTCATGCAGCCTCCTCCTGAGCCTCAAAGCATTGATCCTGCTAGTGAAGTTCGCCTGGCCCCTCCTCGTGAGCCTTTGCTTGCTGGTGAAGTTTGCCTGTCGCCTCCTCGTGAGCCTGAAAGCAAGCATGCTGGTGAAGTTTGCCTCCCCCTTCCTCGTGAGCCTGAAAGCAAGCCTGCTGGTGAAGTTTCCCTGTCCACTCCTCGTGAGCCTGAAAGCAAGCCTGCTGGTGAAGTTTCCCCGACCCTTGATGTTGCTGCCAGCGAATGCAAGCCGCAAGCACTCTGGATGCATCAGTCCGATCTCTGTGCATGTATTTCTGTTGTTAGTTCTACATAAAACATGTTCGATATTGGACCTTGTCTCGCCTCAGGCAGCCGTTGCAACGGAGTCCATCGTGCAGGTCTCGCCTCAGGAAGCCGTTGCCAAGGAGTCCACCACCTCGGCTTCCGACAAGCAATTCAGTGTTCTGGATTTCAAGGCACTTTCGGGACTTGCAGTTGTGTGTGCGATCCCTGCAACTTGCTTAGCATGTCCTGCTTCTTAAGATGTCCTGCCTGTGGCTGTATGCATACAAACATGTCCTCATATCTGGGCAGGAAGAGGTCAGCAGAACGGATCAGTTCAAGGGCAAACGCAAGGCCGGCAAAGCTGCAGCTGATGATGATGAGATGAAAGATGATGAGGAGTGCCAGGAAAGCGAGGAAGATGATGATGAGCCTGTGGTGAAGAAGCGACCGGCTGCCAAACGCAAGATCTCGAAAGCCGGGGGCGATGGAAAGGCCAAGGGACGTGGGAAAGGACGTGGGAAAGGCCGTGGACGCGGTGGGCAGAAGCCAGGCTCTTCTGCCCCCCCGAAAGCAAAGGCCAAAGCGAAGGCAGCAGGCAAGAAAGCTGCAAAACCAAAGGCGAACGGCAAAGCCGAGGATGAGCCGGAGGAGCAGCCTGATGATTCACACCCCGAGGGCGCAGATTCGCCAGGCGAAGCTACGCCCTGCAAAGCGAAGGCAGAGCCCAAGAGAG